TACGAGTCCAAGTATAAGGAAGTGCTCAAAGGTAAGGAGATGAACTAAATCACAGGCCTGGCTCTTTAGTCTGCGTGTATACTGTAAGTAGCGACAGTATGTTCACTAGTTTGCAGCTCGAGGCTTTTAGTGCTTGCCCGTGGTGTGGGAATGCAGAGTGTGTAGTCAAAAGTCCACGTCGCGCTGCAACCGGAGCTCTGCACCATTTCCTTTTTGCACATTTAGCATTTGGGGCAACGGGGAAGAGACCAGATGTGATACAATTTGGGTTGCACCGATTGATCGGCCAGCATTGTTCTCGAGGGTTTGTTTTGCTTTGTATTTACATTGCACATACCGTGTGAGAAGAGTTACATTTTTTTGGGTGGGGGGACACAGTTGTTTCCTGCTCCTGAAAAACATAAATAGCCATTTTGATGTAAAGTTTTCAATGTTGAAAATCTCATGAACTAAATTATGTTTTGTATTTTTGATGCTTTTTTTTTTTTTTTTAGGAAAATAAGTTTCCCCTTCATTAGTTACAACCCCCAAAAAACGGGCTCATGTCTGTATGGATGGAGTACAATTTGTGTTTGACTTATTTTGGTGGTAAACTTTTTCTCCCAGCCCAAATCTATCCAGTGGTACCTCTACGTACGAAATGAATTGGTTCTAGAAGAAATTTCTTGTAATGTAAAGACGCGTTTCCCATGTAAATGCTCCTAATTCGTTCCAAGCCCCCCAAAATTCAGACATAAGTTTCACAACTTGAAAATTTCGTATGAAGAAAACGTAAGTCGAGGTACCACTCTATGTGCCCCATCATTGACCTGCGACCGGTCGAGGGTGTCCCGCGCCTCTCTGCCAAAGTCAAGTCAACATTATTGTCGAATGTGCTCTGTGTGCAACATACAGCACAGATGAAATTTCTTTCCTCTTAACCACAGGAGAGAGAGGTTGGGTAATACTCCAGCTCACCTGTGTTGCTAATCAGCACAAGCTGAGGACGGTTAAATATAGCGACATTATTGCCGCATTTTATTGCAACGATACTCGATGACGAGCGACTACTTCATGGTTCCCTTGACAAGTGCGTGTCACATGTCCAGGAAGCAAATGCAGTATCTACATTGCATTTCGCTACATTTTGGTGTGCATATCCCAGGACAAAATCTTTTCGTATACAAGTGCAAAAGTGTAGCCTGACGACATCACTTGATGTACAAGGTCACAGATGGATGACACATTCAAACCAAAGGCTGCAGTTGAAATGGTAAATGCTAAACCACTTAAAATGTTCAGAGTTTATAATAGCACGATATGCTAAAATGATTCCTATCAGACAATTGTTCATGTGAGACAACTTGCTTGAAGTCGCTAATATGTCAAAAGAGACATAAGTGATTTAAGCAGCGGGGAATTCGGCTCAGTAAAATCGATATATGCTTGCAGCAGATGGTCATGCGGTCCTGACGTATGCGTTATGTCGACAGAGGGCCAATATCTCTTTCTGGTGTAACCAGGTAACAAAAAAAAAAAAAAAAAGCAATAAAGTTCCAGTCAAAGTCTTCAATTTCCCTCTTGTAAGCACAAATTATCTGATGGGCCACGGTGTTTGATCAGATGTCATGTGGCTAGTCGGAAGAGCCCCATTCCTTCTTTATTTTATTTACTTTATTCCTTCAACTGCAAATTTCGTCGTGTTAGTGTGGAGGTGTTGTGCAGACACATACGAGCTGCTCTTTGCAGTCTGGGTTGATTATACACATTTTTGTTTTGTATTAAAAAAAGGAGGCCGAGTAAGGATGCTTTAACTCCTTATTGCAGCTAAACAAAAGCCTTTTACACCACACCCTCATTCCTTCTTTATTTTATTTACTTTATTCCTTCAACTGCAAATTTCGTGGTATTAGTGTTGTGCAGACACACACGAGCTGCTCTTTGCAGTCTGGGTTCATTATACACATTTTTGTTTTGTATTAAAAAAAGGGGGCCGGGTAAGGATACTTTAACTCCTTATTGCAGCTAAACAAAAGCATTTTACACCTCTGAAACTTTTAAAATGTTTTAGACATCACGTGAGGGATTACATTTCATGACAAATGTTAGGTCATGTCAACCTCAAGGTCAAATTATAGGTCAGAAGGTCAAGTTACTACACGCGCCGAAAAGATGGCAGCTCACGGCATTTTTTTGTTTGCTACATGTTCAGCACTAAGTTCAGCTTTTTAAGCCATTTGAAAGATACCTTCAACTCTGCAATTTTTATTTATTTATTTTTGGGGGGGTTCAAAATGTGTTCATTCAATCAATAAAATTCGATTTTCTGAAACATGGATGGACTGCATGGATTTCATAAGCAACACACTATTTTACAAGTGTAATACACACACACACACACGCATATATAAATAAAGGCTAACATCGTCACTTCAGATGACAAAAAGTGTCTGTGGCTCCCAGTGTTGTCTTTTCCATGGAAACTGGGTAAAAAAATGGCTCTTTGAGTGCAAAAGGTTCCCGACCCCTGGGTTAGTGCGACTACATTTCCCATGATTCATAGATACAGAAACAGGAAGTAGATCTCATTCCTGTATGTATGACAAAACAATGGACGCCTGCTCACGATTTGATGTGTGAAAGTAAATGGGGGAAAAAGAATTGAATCAAAGACGACAAACTGAAAAGTCGACATCTACACATAAGGCGCATCGGCTGACAAGACGGGCTGTCGATTTTTTGAGGAAGTTAAAGGATTTTAAGCGTGCCTTATGATCCCCAAAAATCCAGTCGATGAAAGAAATGCTTGTGGACTACAAACTCATTAGGGCTTTGAGGTCAGACTCGGGTCAATGAGTGAAGCCCACAGTTGAAAGCAAAAATGGTGACGCAGCATTTAGCTGTTATGCTGCACACAAATGGAATTGGATGCCAACAAAAGTGAAGTCAGCCTCAAGTGTTCTGTTTTTTTAATCCTGGTTAAAAACGAGGCTTCTTTCCCACCTCATGCCTATGACTGACCAATTATTTTTCTCTCTATTTTTTGCACTGTGCATTCTTTTTGTCATTATACTCGGCTATCTTTAATTTCTGTGCTTTGCGTTTTTCAATGTCTTTCGTTCTTTAGTGTTTAAATGCTTTAAAATGTTGGACATGTAAGCATGTGAAGCACACTGAGCTACCTTTTGTATGAAATGTGCTACGTAAATTAAGCTAGCTTGCCTGGATGCCCCTTAAAAAATGAATGTGTGTCCATCTTGAATGTCACACACAAACGGGTTGAAAAAGGGGAATTGGGGGGAAGGGGCGAGGTGTGATTGTTGAATTTAAGACTTTGCTGGCTGATAGACAGGAATCTGGTGTATTGCCCAGCCAAAGATATTAAGGTGCCAAATCAATTTTTGGGGTGGCCAAGGGTGGGGGCTGTGTGCCCCTTGCTGCCCAGCCCTCTGCACACCCCTGGTGCTCTTTCTTGACTCATTAGGTAACAGGTTTTCCTCGGGTTTCTGCCACTGCCTGTCAAATCAGAGGCAGGTGGGACCACAGAGGGCTGATTTTTCTCACCGATCATTAAATTAACCAGTAGTACCGTCGACCGCTTTACCAAAAAAAAAAAAATCATTTTGTGTGCGTTTGAGCACAATAAAGTTGATGGAGGTGCAACCATGCCTTTTGTTTGCCCGACTGACCGAATGATTGCAATAACAAACGAAATACCCCAGCCGCTTCGGAGTTCTTACCTGCCAGAAGTAGAGGTTGAGCAGGCAAAGGGTGAAAAACTGGAGGCACACCGGGCAGCAGTAAAGCAGCCAGTAGGCCAGCGGCTGCAGCTGCATGGCCTGCGCCGCATTTTCAAAGTAGAAGGAGAAGAGGGTCGTCCGGAGCGCTGCCCACAGTAAACACAGAAACAAGAACGCAGTCTGGTAGCTGAAGCGCTTGTATCCGTAGTGCAGAATGAGCCACAGCTGCAGGTAGACGAAGCCGAAGAGGAGCGAGTACAGGACGGTGTACGCGGTGGTGAGACTCAGCTCCAAGGCGGGGGAGATGGCATCTCCTTCGGGGTCCTCCTGCACGGGGCTCAACAAGCTGGAAGTGACCTCTTTACTGGTAGAAAACATCTCCGCTGGTGACTAACACAAGCAAAGCCGCGAACGGCAAAACTGGGTCAAAGCTGACTCGAATTCACAAAAGATTCCTTTGAAATGTGCGGTCAAAGCATTATTCCTTAAAATAAGGGGCATCGTGGAACTGCGCGCGGCCGTATGAACTAAAATGATGGCGTGAAGGAAGAAAGCCAGTCCAATTGTTGAACGCTCAAACAAGGTAAAATGAAAAATAAGAAGGAAATTCTCCAGCGACTCGCATGCAAAAAAAACAACTAGGGGGAGGGGGGGGGGTCCTCCAGATCAGCTGTGATGCAATTAGAGACCCGCCCCCAAGCTCTACTTTTAAACAAGAAGAAAACGCTCCGTCACCGCCATCTTGGCTCAATGGTCGGCCCGCTTCAATGAGGTACAGATGACTCAGGAGCCACCGAGTCGAGATAGTTTCCAAGCAAAAGTGACCACGTGGGAGTCACGCCCACTCAGCCAGTGAGACATTTTATTGGCTGACTGTGGACCCGAGCCTCCACAATTTGCTCATTGCATTGGTCTATGATGACGTGAACTGACAGACTGCCCTCCTTTTATCTGCGGCGATTGGCCAGTCTTCTGTAACCTTTCGACGACCCGATTGGTTTAGGAAAAACATGTGGTTATATGAACCAAACAGTTATCTGTAAGAGTAATGGTGCTACAGAAAAAAAAACCTTCATAATAAAAGCCAATTAAAGTGGTGCAACACTTTTGTACGATTTCAAACGCTGACTCATATTAATATTTTAAATTATAGGTTTGTTCTTCTCAAGTTATTTCTTTTGTGCATTTTTTCAGCTTTCGTTCGTGCATATATGGGCACTTAAATAATATTATTTTGAAAACAACTCAGGGAAGTTATTTCTAACATGTGAGCTCTTTGTATTCGTGCCCCATATTCAAAACAACATAATGTTAGAGTTTACTTTAACAATGCGCTCCCCGATGAATAATAATGCAGTACAGTATTGCAAACTAGCTTTACCACGGGATTTATGGTTTAACGCTTTTTCAGACTGTCTGCCTGGTCTACAATGAAAAACAAAAACAACAACAACAAAAGAGAACCCGTTGGAACTAAGCGGTAGCTAGCACACAATGCTAATACACTGGTCACTAGTACTTGTTTTAACCCGAGGAACAATTTTGGCAGGTTTCATCCTGTTTTACACCACGAGGAATGATGACGTCGCGCTGCTTTCGGCATTACACGATTCACATGAACCGAGGTTTCTTGCTATTTTTTTCCACTCTGAAAAATAAAAGTTTTTCAGGTAGGCTATCCACCAGCTTCCTTTGTCATCATACTATAGAATCATTTTACATTTTGCACTTTTACTTGATGCGGATTAACATTACTCATTATTTATATGCTTTTACATTTTTGTTATTTTATCATTTACATTTTTCACCCCTCTTGACCTTTTCCTTTCTGAACTTCTTTCTGCTAACCATTTTTAATTCTGCCTTCCTTTCCCGAGACCTATTTATTCATACATCCTTCTTTCCGTCCTTCCTTCTTTCCTTCCTACCTGCCTTCCTCTCTGCCTTCATTCATCCTTCGTTCCCATCTTCCTTCCTTCCTTCCCTTGGACACACTTGTCATTTAACGCCCTCCTTCTTTTGCTGAAAACTACTTTTCTGTCTTCTATCCTTTGGCACCTGCCCAAAGCTGCTTTGGAAACCATTTCCTTTTTTATACCCACTAATCAATCACTCAATAAAAAAAGCCCAGTAAATATATGTACCATTTAAGTAACAATTCAAACGCCAAACACTAGTACTCTCAAATCTTTTTCCCCTCAGTTTTTCCCTGCAGAGGCCAAGTCAGCCTTGCTTATCCATGATGTGGCTGCGTGTGATTTTCTTGCTGCTGTGCACAAGTGCCGCTGGATGCACAGACACGTTCAACGCATCAGGACTGCTGCTCGAATTTACGGCTGTGGACTTTGATGACAAAATCAATTCTGGGAAGATGCTCTTCATCTATTTTGAGAGCCAAGGTATTGCGGTGCCGCGCTGACCACTTCGCTTGCTCCCGAGTGCCGAGAATGAATCATTTCTTCCTGTTCTCCTCTGTTGTCAGTCTCCCAAACCGTCTCTCTCTTCTTGGGGGAATTGAAAAAGTCTGCAGATGTTCTGAAAGATTATGGAGTACTCGTGGGCAAGGTAACACGTAATGTCATGAGTCTTAACTACCAAGGATGAGTTTAAATAGTTCATTGTTGATATCTAAAAGGGCTACCAATATGACATGATCGATTGATTATTTATTTTTTATTTTTTTGTAGATCAACTGCAAAGAGGAGAGGGTTCCCTCATACTGCACGAAAGAAATGGTGCAACAGACTGCTTTTCTTTTCAGGTATGTGGAGTGTAAGTATAGTATCCAGTACGTAGTGGGTTAAGACTTGTAAAGTCTGACTAGTTACTCCTAAAATATAGCCTAAGTCTGTCTTTCCGGGTATGAAGTCGTCCCATTGAACGGCATAAAGGTTGAGAGAGAGCCACAGGTAGGTTAGCAAACATATTTGTTGACAAGCAAGCTTGTTCACCACTGGTTGCAGTCAACGGGTCGTAAATCAAATTTTTTGTTTGTTTGTTGTTGTTTAACTCCAAATATTTCTTTTCGAAGGGATGGCAAGGAGTTCTTGAGCTTTGATTTGGACACCGTGTTTGACGTCAACTCCATTGTCTCTGAAGTCTTGTTGTAAGTCAGCAAACAGTCCCTCAGGCTAATCACAAGTACTATTCAAAAATGTTTCATTGTTGTTGTCTTTGTTGGAGTGCTTTATTTGTGCAGCCTGATTACTCTTTTTCCTCTTTGTTGATCATCCTCCCTAACACTCTTGTTGTTGTTGTTTCACTTGTGATGAAAATCAGTTTGATATATTTCTCGATAAACATTCAACTGCATGTTCGTAAAACCAAACGCAGTCTCTCATGTTCCCCTTCAGCGCCATTTTGCGTGACGAGGTCAAGTACGTGCATTCGGACGCTGACCTCTTGGTCATGGAGAAGTCCGTCAGAGGAAAGAAGGACATCGTGCTGGCTTATGTCAGCAGTCTTGGCACACAAGGTACGGACGTCACTGATCAAACGTACACGCCGCTGTAGCGGTTCACATTGCTGACTTCATAGGCTACATTGCCGCGTACATGAGAGCGCCACTGCCTACGTTCGTCTCAAGACCCCCCCCCCTCCCCCACTCGAAATTGTCCCTGGGTGTGAGCGCGGATGGTTGTTCGTCTCTGTGTGCCCTGCAATTGGCTGGCAACCGGTTCAGGGTGTCCCCCGTCTACTGCCCGAAGACAGCTGGGATAGGCTCCAGCACGCCCCGCGTCCTTTGTGAGGATAAAACGGCTTGGAAAATGAATAAATGAATAATACATTTTATTTATAAGCGCCTTTCAAAACAATCCGTCTCCCGGTGGACTGCTGCTTCGAACGTGAGCCTCTACTTCCAGTAAGCTGTTGCATCTGCGTTCCTTTAGAGCACAGATCCGTCATGGAGACGGCTTATGTGTACGGATCGAAACACCAGTTCATCCTCATAACTGGAGGCCCTGTCTTGAAGCACTTGGGGTATGTTTGTCTTCTCTTCCCATCTCGTTGCCAAGGAAGAAAATGAGTTAGGATTCTCCAATTTAAAGGCTTTTCCTTTCAGCGTTCACAGATCCTCTTCGTTGTCTCGCGTGTGGTTCCTCCACTGCGTGGCCCCCAACACTGAGCGCTGCCCGTTGACACCGATGAGGACGCCGCTGTCCACGCTCAGCCTGCACGCCTTCCTGCAATTGATGGAGGCGCCGCTGTTGGTAACCGGGCTCCTTTGCTTTCTCACAAACGCCAAAGGGAAAGCAACACATCGTTTACAGCGCCGCAATTCATTTTGTGCGTTTTTCTGCTCCGTCGTCCGTGTCGCCAGTCGGAAGTATACAAAGACCCCGCCGCTGTTCCGAGCCCACTCTTCCCCTACCGCCAGACCCCCCAGGTCTTTCTGTTCTCGCATTCCGAAACGGAGCGACTCGACCGCGACACGGCCGAAGCGCTGGCCTGGAGGCTCCGGGGCGTTGCCCTGATGACGCTGGTGCACAGGTAAGATGCAAGGTACATCATCAAGTCGTCTTGCACGTTCTTTTCTGTTCATCAGACCATCGGAATGGATTCGATTTTTGTGTTATCAAGGAAGAGCCCTGCGGTGAAAACGCCGGTTGAATATAACGCTGCTTACAGGCTGCCGGATAAGGTTTGGTGATGATTTACAATTTTTCTGTATACAGTGGTGCCTTGATTATGAGTGAGGCGATTTACAAGGTCTTTGAGAAATCGTTTGGGTGACTTATTTATTTAATTTTTTTGCATGAATTCGTGAGCAAAAATTGGAGATATGCACGCCGAATGGCTGCAGTGAACTCAACTCATTTCAACCCCCTTTACAACAAGCAAGCTCTTTATTGCCACTCCTGGTTGAAGTTTGTTGTCAAACTAAGCATACCAATGAAAACAAAGAGAATTAACACGTAATTTAGCGAGTCAGTCTCATGCAAATAAACAATGCAAAACCCCACAAACGGGCTAAATTGGCATCGCTACTGCGGTGCCAGAGCCCTTTAAGCAAGGGATGTTCGAACACAAACTGGGGAGCAACACAAGTAGACAGCCAATACACTTCCAAGCATGTATTCTTTATCCTCTGCAAAAAAAGTGACGGATATTAACGCATCTTTCTCAGTCAGCTGTGAAACAATTCCTCGTGCGTGTATATCTGTATTTTACGCCTGTGTCGTCCTTACTTCTAGGGGCCTGAGGTCAGGTATTTGACCTTAGACAACCCGGACGAGCTCCTGGAGCTCTTCCTTCATCGTGAGGGAGATGAAATGCAAAGTGAGGAGTTGGAAGGGGAAGAGTGTAATATTGAGGATGACGTGTCGAATGGTAAGGTTGAGAAATTGAGAACAAATGCCCAGGAGCCATGGAAGAAGGACGATGAGTACGCTTTCATTTTTGTTCTCCAGGGGAATTGGAAGACGAAATTGTGGCATCCGTCTATGTGAATCGAGGCCACATGGTGCACATGGACTCCATTACCCAACTGACGTCTGACGACTTCCCCGATGCAGTAGCTCAAAGCGGCCTCACGGTGGTGCTCTTCTACCTCAAATGTATGTTGCTCTCTTCTGCTTTCGTCCTTGAACGTTTCACTATATGTGACGTCATAGAAGGAACTCTTTTTCCTGTCAAGAAGAGTGACAAAAACAAATGTGGTGTGGTATGGATAAAGGAGTACAGTCCATCAATCATTTTTACCATTTGAATTCACCCCCCACAGTCATAATGGGATGGCTGGTCTCTTGATCTTAATTCTCTGGAAAGCAGCCGGTAGACTTAAACTAATGAATCCTGGGACACGCAATGGCAAAGTTGCACACTCAGTTATTTAGTTATTTATTTGTTTTGTCGCTTATATTAACAGTTGAACCCTGGCGGAGGGTACGGTATGGAGTCAACTGAGTGAATTTAGTCACATAAGATCGGTATGGCATACGCAGCAAATCCAATGGCGGACGAAAACGTTTGCCTCGTCCTGTCGAGACATTAAAACAAGAACATGCCACGAAGTCACAACGGCACCTGAAATGTTGTTCTCATAGGGAATTTAACCAAGGGTGGAATGTGGCCTCTAAGTATCAGTTAAAACATTTCACACATTTGAAATTGCCCTGAAAAAAAGAACCACAAAGATGAAAGTGTCAGAAAATGTTCAAGACTTAAAATCTAAAATTGTGTCAATTGCGACATGGCAGTAAAATGTCATGTACTTAATTTGACCCCATAGATATGTTACGATTTGAAAGAGATATGGTTGTTGTTTTTTTTTTTTAAGGCAACAGGCAGATTACCCTTCATTGGTCACCAGTCAGTCACAAACAAACAAGCATTCATATTCAAATGCGCACTTCCAGTCACTGTATTTTTACCTTTTGTAACAAGAGACAATATTTTCCTGTTCAGGCGTTTCATAACTTGAAAATTTCGTATGAAGAGACGTTCTTAAGTAGAGGTACCACTGCATGTCCATTTTATTCATTGTAGTTTCTGATGCTACGACCAGGGGACGCTGTTTCAATGGCCTTCCTCAGCTCGTTTACAGAAGTGGCCCAGAGGCTTGCAGGTAATCACTACTTGCTGACAGTATGCCATTTTATTTTTAAACTCTCTTCTACGTAAATGGGAGTGGACTTATCGACTCATGTCGACGCTTCTTTTTATCGCCGCATTTCCAGATGCTGGCGTCGTTGACGTCCACCTGAGCGCAGTGGATTGCGGCGAATGGACCGACCTCTGCGCTGCTCGGCCAGTCGGCTCCCGTCCCATCTCGTTCCAGCCAATCACTGCCTTCCCAAGTGTCCTGCTACTCCGCCCTCACGAGCCCATTCAGGTGTATCGAGGAATGTTGGGATGTGAGCCGCTGCTTCGCTTTATCTTCCTGTGAGATTGTACTCTTTGACCTTTCTTCATTTGTTTGCTAAATGAAATGGCGAGGTGAAAAGACGGTTTGAAATTTCATCGACTTTGCCGTCCACCCAAAAAAGAGATACTCGGGAAAAATATGGGACACCCCTGCTCTCATGTCATGTTTGACAAATTTCGATGAAAGCTCTGAAAATAGAGTTTAAACATGGCTAAAATGATTCCAAGTTTATTTATTCATCCTCTGAAAAACGATGAATATTACAGCATCGGATTGAGTACTCTTCTTTTTCACTTTTGTCAGCATAACTGTCTTTTACTGCCCCCTAGTGGCCAAGGCAGGCACAGCAAAGGGAACGGCACAATGAATTGGACTGCAGCATTAATTCATGATGCGCAAACTGTTTCATTCTTAGCAGGAAGGAGACACGCCGTTTGCTTTCATCGACCCCCCAAAAAGATTTTGTGGGCTGGGCCTGGTTCCCGAGCCTTGAGTTTGGCACGTGGGCTCGGAAGCCCATAAAAATATGATCAACATTAAAAACTACACGTTGGCGGATGTCATGTTCTCGGGAGCTTTTGATAGGATGAAGAAAAGTGGAGGGAAAAACAACATCTCAAAGGAATGTTAGTCTTGGCTGTCATTGCAGCTGTGATAAAGCCCCACGCAGGAGGAGACTCCACAAAATGCGTGTGTGTGATGAGGACCATGAAAGATATCTTCACCACCCCAAATAAACACACGCAGGAAAGACATTCTGAGCGGAGCTGTGTGTAAACATGCGGACAAATGGACAAGTGGGTGCAGGGGGGGTTTTTGGTTTGAGCGAAAACACCGGTGCCCACACGGGGAGTCGTACCCGCTCACTTCCTGCACTATGCTATCGATCCGGGTCCATCTTGCGCTTTTTTAAAATTGTCTGTGCCAAGGGATGTCATTTGAGAAAAGCGATGACATTTCTCAGGCCCCGAGAAATACCATCTTGTCAATTTGTGTTATGGAAATGGTGAGGCCCAAAGTAATCAACCTTTCACAGGCTCCAAATCCTTGACGCCCCCCCCCCCCCACACCCCCTTTGTGTCTGTGTGTGCATTGTCCTTCATCCAGAAGCCGTCCGGCCTCTCCCCAGGTTCTGTCGACTCAGCAGGAAGTGACATCATTCCTTCACGGGACGCCACATCCTGAGCTAGCGGGCTACATCCCCGACAAAATAGTCGGACTGTTTAGGATGCGGACACTTTCGGGTAATAGATGAATTGCGTGAGCCGTCGGATCCATTGTGGAAAATTCAGTTCTAAAAGTCTGACTGAAATGTGAGAGAGCGAAAGATGGGTTGATGAGTTTGTGTGAAGCGATGGCCGTTTCTCCGGTTGTGTTGGCAGATGTGTCCGTTTTTAATGAAGCGGCAAAGTCGTTGCAAGGGAGGGTGCTGAGTGCCCTGCTGACAGACGTGCTGGCACAGGAATGGTAGGCACTGAGAATTATTCCTCCTTTCCAAGGTTGTCGCTGACCATTAAATTCCGCTGCCTCTTTTTCTTTGAGTACGCCGCCATCACATAGGCATCGACAAGAAAATAGTCAGTGTACAGGAACAACATTTTAAAAGTCCTCTTCAAAATACCTCAAAGGTCTGTTGAAAGTGCTGGCAACCAAAAGTGAGCGCCAAGTGTGAATATTTTTTGAAGCCACCGTTATTTTCCGGCAACTTCCTTAACTCAGCCGGACATTGAGTTCACCAGAGGTTGCTAGTTTGCCATTTCCACGCCCCCTCGATGACATCACAGAGCTGGTGGACGTTCGAGATCTTGCGCTTTTCCACAGAGGAGGGTGAGGATGCCGCACCGATGCTGCCGTTGAGCATCTGTCGGGCATCCGACAGCCTTTCGGAGACATGGTTGACCAGTCCGTCATCTTTACCTTCGGCTTCTTCAAAGCAAGGCAATGGTCGTCGCCGGGCCACGACACGATCTGAACGAAATCCATTTGTCTTGGGCTCATTAAACCATAAGTTGTGGTTGCAGTAATCCGTCTCCGTTGTGTGATTGTCTTCAAAATCTGTTTATCAACTTTAGAAGAGTCTTCCTTATGGAATGACACCCATCTGACCTCGACAGCAATGGTGGCGGCATTCATATGTCTGGACCTGCGAGACCGTAGAACACTAACTAGTCACGTGACACCGGGGGGGGAGGGAAAATGGCTAATTGGGCCCAATTTGGACATTCTCACTTCGTGGTATACTCACTTTTGTTGCCACAAATTCAGACATTGTCACTGATGGTTGAGGTATTTTGAGGAAACTGTGAATTTACATTGTTAGACAAGCTCTACTTTATTTTATATTTGTAAAGTTGTTCAAGCGGTCAGTACCTCAGAAAATGGGTGTTGTCACTTTTGTGAGATACTGTATATTTAGTGTGTGTGCGTGCGTGCATGTGTGTGCTCTCCATATGTGCTTTTTAGGGCTGCCGACCTCTCTGTCAGCCTCCCTGCAGTTTTAGTGTTTCCGTCTTGGAAGCGACACCCCCCGCCCTCCGCGTTGTCACAGTTCACCTCTGCAGATGAGTTGGTTTCCCACGTTGACGCGGCGCTGCTGCATCCTTTGGTAAGTTTTAGTTTCAACGTGGTGCTCGTATCTTTATGAAGAACGTTTGAAGCTCTTTGGGAGTGATGGGCTAATATTAAACCATAGCCTCGCAGGGTCTTAATAGTAAATCTGGTATCAAGCTACCTTTTTTGTTTGTTTGGTTGCATGGCACCCAACGTTGCTCCCTGCTGACAGACGTGCTGGCACAGGAATGGTAGGCACTGAGAATTATTCCTCCTTTCCAAGGTTGTCGCTGACCATTAAATTCCGCTGCCTCTTTTTCTTTGAGTACGCCGCCATCACATAGGCATCGACAAGAAAATAGTCAGTGTACAGGAACAACATTTTAAAAGTCCTCTTCAAAATACCTCAAAGGTCTGTTGAAAGTGCTGGCAACCAAAAGTGAGCGCCAAGTGTGAATATTTTTTGAAGCCACCGTTATTTTCCGGCAACTTCCTTAACTCAGCCGGACATTGAGTTCACCAGAGGTTGCTAGTTTGCCATTTCCACGCCCCCTCGATGACATCACAGAGCTGGTGGACGTTCGAGATCTTGCGCTTTTCCACAGAGGAGGGTGAGGATGCCGCACCGATGCTGCCGTTGAGCATCTGTCGGGCATCCGACAGCCTTTCGGAGACATGGTTGACCAGTCCGTCATCTTTACCTTCGGCTTCTTCAAAGCAAGGCAATGGTCGTCGCCGGGCCACGACACGATCTGAACGAAATCCATTTGTCTTGGGCTCATTAAACCATAAGTTGTGGTTGCAGTAATCCGTCTCCGTTGTGTGATTGTCTTCAAAATCTGTTTATCAACTTTAGAAGAGTCTTCCTTATGGAATGACACCCATCTGACCTCGACAGCAATGGTGGCGGCATTCATATGTCTGGACCTGCGAGACCGTAGAACACTAACTAGTCACGTGACACCGGGGGGGGAGGGAAAATGGCTAATTGGGCCCAATTTGGACATTCTCACTTCGTGGTATACTCACTTTTGTTGCCACAAATTCAGACATTGTCACTGATGGTTGAGGTATTTTGAGGAAACTGTGAATTTACATTGTTAGACAAGCTCTACTTTATTTTATATTTGTAAAGTTGTTCAAGCGGTCAGTACCTCAGAAAATGGGTGTTGTCACTTTTGTGAGATACTGTATATTTAGTGTGTGTGCGTGCGTGCATGTGTGTGCTCTCCATATGTGCTTTTTAGGGCTGCCGACCTCTCTGTCAGCCTCCCTGCAGTTTTAGTGTTTCCGTCTTGGAAGCGACACCCCCCGCCCTCCGCGTTGTCACAGTTCACCTCTGCAGATGAGTTGGTTTCCCACGTTGACGCGGCGCTGCTGCATCCTTTGGTAAGTTTTAGTCTCAACGTTGTGATTGTGTCCTTATGAAGAACGTTTGAAGCTCTTTGGGAGTGATGGGCTAATATTAAACCATAGCCTCGCAAGATAGTACCTCATCAGGGTCTTAATAGTAAATCTGGTATCAAGCTACCTTTTTTGTTTGTTTGGTTGCATGGCACCCAACGTTGCTGCTATTGTAGCCCCTTTCACACTGTCAGCAAAATCTTTTTGCTGTTCTGATGAAGTGGCAATTTTCCGCTTGTGGTCACTTTGTCACAAAGGCAGGATGCCACCTGTGTACAGCCGTCGTTTCCAATGCCAGGATCGGTGTCCGCGAGATATAAAATACACATAACATTTGTTGCAGAAGAGACATGTGCAACATTGCAACTTTTTGGAAGTGAGTTAGATCCGCTATGAGCTCCAAGCCACACATACAAACACTATTTGTGGAAACAAGGTTATGACGACATGACTCATTTCATTGAATATTTGTTTGTCCCACATTCACGTGACAGTTTTTTTTCCCCTTCTGTTTTATTGTCAGCCTGAACTGACAGTGGAAAACCTGCCGTCCTTCCTCAGCCTGGGAAAAGCTCTTCTCCTGCTGTTCGTTGGAGAAGAGGAGGACGAGCTCGGGTTGAGGCAGAACACGCTGCTGCTGGAGGAGATGAAAAGGCTGCTGGAATCGGGAGGCGAGAGGATGGAGCCATACTTGACCTGCTGGATCCACCTGTATGCTGTATTTACACCAAACATTCCGGATTATTGATTGACCGACACTTTGCTAATTGTGTTTGTTAGTGTGCGTGCCGATTGGACCTTAATCTTTAAAATTTTCGTCTGAAGCCCTGCTAATATTTTTTTTTACACATAACTAAACCTTTCAAATAAATTAAAAAAAAAATAGCAGGCCCTCCAAATAGCAGCATCGCGACCAACATTCAAATTTGCTGTCTACGGAGCAGGCCGAAGTGTTGATAGAAATCCAGGCAGAGGTTTCATTCCTAAAATATATCTTTAAAGTTATTGTAAACGACTTTAGCATGATGTAGAATTTGAGAATGAACATTAGAGGCTTGGAGAATGGATGGATGGACACTGTCCTTCAATATAGGAAAATAAAAACGACTGAAATACTTTTTGAATTAAAATGCTTCGCGCATAAATACGATTTTGTACCAATAGAAATGTTTTGAAACGATCCATCCATCCATTTTCCGATCTGCTTTATCCTCACAAGGGTGGCGGGGGTTGCTGGAGCCTATCCCAGCCGTCTTCGGGCAGTAGGCGGGGGACGCCCTGAACCGGTTGCCAGCCAATCGCAGGGCACACAGAGACCATCAACCATCCGCGCTCACACTCACACCTCAGGACAATTTAGAGCGTTCAGTTACCCTACCAAGCATGTTTTTTGGAATGTGGGAGGAAACCAGACTACCCGGAGAAAACCCACGAACACACAACCTCTGCACTGTGAGGCCGATGTGCTAACTACTCGACCACCGTGCCGCCATTTCAAAACCAATAGTTCTAAAAGATGAGATTTAAATGCATTGAAACTAAAAGTTAAATGCAACTGAACTGTACTTAGGACGGGATTCTTTTGCGTACCACTTGAAGGACTGCTACACTCTAACCCTCCGATTACCTTTGGGGCCAATTAGACCCCATTCAATGTTTATTATTTTAAAAAACAAAAAAAGTTGCATTTTTTTGCGCTCTATATTTCATGACTTTTCCTTATTTGATGGGGCAACCGATTAAGCATCAAATTTCCCAATAATCCCACATTGTGGTCTCGGTCGACTGCAATCTGCATGCTTTCTCATGTGGAAATCTCTGGGAAAAGGTTTACTTTTCGAACTTAACATTAGCCCCTGCGGAGGACTTGGTCTCTGTTCATTTCGACTACGGTTGAATTTATGGCTTGTTATTACCAAGGTGACAAATACGGTGTCTGCCCGTGACCTTAATTGCTGGATCAGCACAGCCAGTGTCGTGTCCTCTGTGTGGCGATATTTTTCGTAGGGTTTTGGTGAAGTCCGATGAAGGAAATACGTGTTTCCTTTCAAGGTGTCTTTAGTGCTCGAGGTGTCTTCCTTTAGTTTGAACGAGGAAAAAAGAAGGAGAAACTCATTGTGCCAAAAAGCGGCCCTACGAGATTGTCATTGGACCGTGACGATATTTAATTTGTCCATCCAATAAATTAGAACATTGTTGAACAGTTCATTCAATTCAGTAGTTCACTTAAAAAAAAGCGAACGTCATATTTTTCAGATTCATTAAACACAGGAAAACACTTTTTAGTATGCCAATTCCTATTGAACGGCTCCTTTATGAAACAAACTGAAAGTGGTGACAACAATACTTCCCACCTGGAGGGAGATGACTAAAAAGCGAGGCAGGCACAAAATTTATCTTTTGTTGTTGCTTTGAATCCAACACATTTCTATTGCAGTGGTCGCACTCCAGCTGGTATGTCGGTCCTGGGCTCCTATCTGGGTTCTCTGCCCCCCCTTCCTGCACTGATTCTCACTCATTTGCCCTCTGGACGTGAAGTTTATGAGTACCCACCCAACACGCCCATCACAGCCCAGTCTGTCTTGCAGTGGCTGCAAAGAGTGGAGGATGCCAAAGAGTCTCCTGCAGGTAAGGATCCCAACGTCCCGAACGATGCGAGGCAATCCATTCCGCGATGAGAAGATTCGCGAAGCGAAAGTGCATTTTAAAAGCTTGTGTGGAGTTGAAAAAGGAAAAGATGTCATGCCAAATTTGCTATGTCAACCAAATACAGCATTGAATGAACTTACACCACATGATTCTATTGCTGTTTCGCATTTTCAGATATGGTCACTCATTCATACAGTTTCTTTCAATCAATCGTTATACTCAGAAGATACATAAACCTTGTGAAATACATTATTGTTGGCACTTTCTCAAGTTTGAAAAGACCTCTCTGAAGTTACAGGACAGGTGTTTTAGAAGTGGGGTTTAAACGTACAGACACGATGAAACAATTTCTGTCCTTTCCAGTTTTGGACTAATACATTTATTTACATCTGTATTCAACATAAGGAAATTCATACATTATCTATCTATCTATCTATCTATCTATCTATCTATCTATCTATCTATCTATCTATCTATCTATCTATCTATCTATCTATCTATCTATCTATCTATCTATCTATCTATCTATCTATCTATCTATCTATCTATCTATCTATCTATCTATCTATCTATCTATCTATCTATCTATCTATCTATCTATCTATCTATCTATCTATCTATCTATCTATCTATCTATCTATCTATCTATCTATCTATCTATCTATCTATCTATCTATCTATCTATCTATCTATCTATCTATCTATCTATCTATCTGTCCATTCATCCATCCATCTATCCATCCATCCATCCATCCATCCATCCATCGAGTCAGCCAACCAGCTAGCCAGCTAACAATGGTAGCTTTCTCTCTAGCTAGCCAGCTAGCTTTCTATCTAGCCTATCTACCTAACGAGCTAGCTAGCTTTCTAGCTAGCTGCCATGGTTGTCTCAATAGGAAATATATATAATAATATATACACAGCAAAACATTATCCTCCTACTGTGTACTATTATCATGATGATAATAGATGGTATTTTGCAAGTCAAAATCTCTCTAATTACCGTCTGAAGACAAATAGAATTCAGAAAAGCTGACCTCATTTAGCTCCTTTGCATGTTGCAATGTCTCGGAAATGTTTTTAAGAGCCATTAAAGTAAAACCGTAGTTGTGCCTGCTGTGAGTTTGAACTCAGCGCCGAAGGGCAACGTGGGGTAATGTGTTGTTGTTAATAGCGTAATGAACATAATGTGTGGCAGCGCATTCCTTGTATTGTGCTCCCCGCCGCATTATCCAGTTTCATATTACTTAGAAAGCCATGTGGATGTTGTTCTCTGGCACTTTTAAACTTTTTCATTTCCATTACATCCTCCAAGGCTGCCATTTGGAATAGAAATGCAAACTCAGGACTGTCTATTTTGAATATGATTTTGGCTTACTGTGGCACCAATTTTTGAATGATCTCCTACTTTAGATTTAATTGAGTCATTGGTCTCGGTCTATAGGGATTTTGGGGAATGATGACTGGCCTCCCTCTGTCGAGTTGTATGACTTTCTGAAAATCATGGATGAGGAGGAGCCCGGCTTTGCCAAGCAGCGCGTTCCTCAAGAGGACGACGACGAAGAAGAGGAGGTGGATGAGGCAGAGTCGACCACGGAGCAAGCAACGGCAGATTCCTCTTACCGCACGCCGCATCACTCAGAATTATGACAAATGATTCGGAGATTATTTTTTTAATCGTACCATGGGTCATTTGGTAGTGCAGTGGCTGCCACACAATTGGACCAGGGTAAAATTGCACTTAGGTTAGCAATCGAAGGTGCACCCAGTCTCCCCATCCCTAAGGCTGATTGTCTATATAACTATACCAGAATTATGACAAATGATTCGGAGATTATTTTTTTCATCGTAACATGGTAGTGTAGTGGCTGCCACACAGTTGGACCGGGGTCAAATTGCGCTGAGGTTAGCAATCGAAGGTGCACCCAGTCTCCCCATCCCTAAGGCTGATTGTCTATGAATGTATTGTACTTAAAAGTTAAATACAACTGAACTATATATATTTTTTTAATCTTACTTCTAGTGGGAGCCTGTGTACTAAACTTTATGAATCACTGGGAAAGGCAGTACATAAGACGACGGGGGGATTCCAGTGCCCTTATATTAAGGTCACAATGTGTTGGAAATTAGTCTGACGATATTTGCCACTCCATACCGTTCTATAATTGCAAACACGTCGCATACCTTTGACGAGTTTGTAAAAGTGTGCAGTTTGAACAAAGTATTAAAAACTAGCTATCCAGAGGCAAATACAAACTGAGCATATATAGAAAAATACGGCAATGTTTGTTAAGATGTCACCGAATAAATGTTTTAAAGCAGTACAGAACCGTAAGGTATTTTATTTCTTTGTGTAATCGTGCTGTATTGTTATTTTCTAGAAGTTCAAATGTGCAGCCTGTAATTTGTGTCAACATTCCATGTCCACCTGAAAAAAAAAACAAAGCTACTAAAACATAATGCACAGTTTGTACATATTATTGAATTATTATTATTATTATCACCCAGTCTCCCCATCCCTAAGGCTGATTGTCTATGAATGTATTGTACTTAAAAGTTAAATACAACTGAACTATATATATTTTTTTAATCTTACTTCTAGTGGGAGCCTGTGTACTAAACTTTATGAATCACTGGGAAAGGCAGTACATAAGACGACTGGTGACTGGATTTTAATTACCAGTGATGACTGAAACGTATTTTCTTGTTGCTCGGGGGGAGAATTCCAGTGCCCTTATATTAAGGTCACAATGTGTTGGAAATTAGTCTGACGATATTTGCCACTCCATACCGTTCTATAATTGCAAACACGTCGCATACCTTTGACGAGTTTGTAAAAGTGTGCAGTTTGAACAAAGTATTAAAAACTAGCCACCCAGAGGCAAATACAAACTGTACACATATAGAAAAATACGCCAATGTTTGTTAGGATGTCACCAAGCAAATGTTTTAAAACAGTACAGAACCGTAAGGTATTTTATTTCTTCGTGTAATCGTGCTGTATTGTTATTTTTTAGAACCTCGAATGTGCAATCTGTAATTTGTGTCAACATTCCGTGTCCACCGTTGCACCGTTTTACAGCTTGATGTAAGTTACGCACTGTGTTGATTTCATTATTTTTGACAGATTTGAAGTGAAGCAGTCCTAAATGAGATTTCTCCTTAATGATGTCAGGGTTCAAGCTCGCTGGCTCACGCTCAAGTTCAGTGAGTGCTGAGGGTCGGATGAGAACACTCTCTGGCCACTCCATTAGAAACGCTTGCACAATCGAATATATGAACTGTACAATTCTCCACATTTATGCTCGATTTTGTCACCGTGTGTTTCTTGTGGAGTGGGCCACCGCTGCCCTTAAAACTTAAGTGTCAGTCTCGAGGCGGATTTTTCCATTGTGCAGGTGGACCAGTTCTTGGGCAGGGCGCTATTTGCTCTTTGTTTTGTTACAAGAGAGGGATTAAATTCTGAGCTGTGATTCTCACAATTTGTGTTTGTCGTCTATGGCAGTGCCACAGTCAGCCCAGAGAGACTGAAATTAGAAACTTGCATTGACTCGGTATGTCTGCCTCTGTCTGAAAGTTTTATGTGAGGCAGACCCATGCAATTACCCAAATCACCTTGTTTGCAGCTGCAGGCACTTGGGAGAAATGGTCATTAATAAAACGTCCCTAAATATAGCCACGACGTCATTAACAATGGAGCAGAGAAACTCAGTACTTTGTATGCTAATAAACCGGACCGCTAGAGCGGGGCGTAAATTCCAAACAGCTCATTCGCACACACATTTTTACAAATAGGCAGGTAAAATATTTACTTGGTTGAATACACAATGGGTGGACAGGGCAATTTTCTGTCTTCTTTGATAAGTCATACATTTGAAAATTAGAATGGCTGGCCTTGAAAAGTGTCACTGGGGAAGGCTCACCCCAAATGGCAGCCCTGAATGGATACTGTCATTTTCCAGTGAGATCTCTCACCTCTGGACAAGCCCACGGCCGCCGTGTTGAAAGTCGACGCGTTATTTTCCAGCTTTTTGTGAGTATGTGAACAGAATTTGATTGCAAGACGACTTCATATAATGCTGAATTACCGGGCAGCATCGATACGGCAGCACCAATTTGGAAACGGGGCCAAAAGACGGAACATTTGTCAAGGAAAGATGAAGGTTGTGGCTTTCACAAAGTTCCGTTGCCTTCAGTAAGTGATGAAACATTTCCTTTTGATGGTAACGTTTCCCACTTGGATGGTAAAACATGGGAAGCAAATCTTCCCAGAAAAAAGGATTTGACTGTTTGCTGGCATCTGGGTTTTGCTAGCATGAGCCGACTTCCTCTCCCTTTTACTTATTCCTGCGGTATGCCCGCTGGGAATGGTTAAAAACTATTATTATTACACCGTGTGTGGCAAATAAACAATACTCATTGAGTGACTCAGTAAACCAGAGGCGCCTGCTGTCCCTTTGCCTTCGCAACATTAGCATGCTAGCGGAACAACCTTGAAGCCAACAACAAAACGCTGTGATAGGTCAACGGTGGCTCAGTCTTCACTGTCACAAATGTCATTTCCGTTTAATAAACTCAACATGTTGTCAAGTTTGGTCAACATTTGTCCAAGCACTTCGTTTAATAGCTGCTAAACGTTCTAGCGATAGCAAAACGATCAATGTATTTGTCGTTGTATCGTATCCTGGCCGCCGCATCCAAAATTTCTCCATCCGCTATCAACTTTAGCAGTCATCGCAGCACATCTGGCTCGTATGTAAAATTGATACTACAGCTGATCTTAACTGATTACACGGGACATCTTCTGGGAAGAGCGTTGGATCTATCCACTGACTTTGCTGATGGAATTTCCTGTAAAAAAGATTGCTTTCCCAGTCCGATTGAGGTTTCCCTGATGCTAAGTAAGTTTGCTGGTAAAAATAGAATGAGCGTGCAGCATGGGTTGAAGATGTTTTTTATTGAATACTACATAAAAAATTTTTTTGAAAGAAAACAAGCAGAACAGGGGAAGAGCCAGAAAGAGGAAGAGCAAAGGTCAGCATTCCTGCTGCTCTTTGGAGACTCGAAAGCACAAGATGGAACACCCAGCATTCGCCGTGAAGTCAGACGGCGTGAGGAAAACAAACTAGTTATTGCACAAATGAAAACTTAAATGTGATTTGTATTTATAACTCAACAGCAGTGTCTCCGACTAGCACCTGCTTGGTTCGCTCATGTCTCCGAACGGCTCGGTCCTGCGGTATCGAGCCGTTCATCAGTCGGACTTATTCCCCAGGCACGGCGTGTTTATTCATTTTGGCCGAGTGCAATCAAAGCAGGCCGTGGCATCAATCAAGATGTTACGCATCGAATCATCCGTAATGATAATTCCGATAATAACCGTCGTCATCAGCCACTGGAACACGGAACTCTCGTCGAGCAATTGGATCTCCATCCGGAGCAGCGCTCACCATGCAGTTGTGTGCTCACGCTAATGACACAAAGGCATTTGGGAGTGAAACCGTAGCATGTGCGTAATGCTCAAGTCCCATGGCGACGATATTTCCGGGACTCAAATGGCACAATTTGCCTTGCCGGACCTTCACTTACTGATTAAGGAACAGAGGGTCAGCTCAGGGGTTCATGTATTATGTATTGCGCTAAAAAGTAAAGTACAAGTGAGCTGCACGTGAAAGGAAGTTCTGTGCTGGATTGAATTCATTTTAAACGTTATTTGTTTTGACTCCTATTTTCCGGCATCTCGGCCAAATGTTGTTCACCAAGCTCCCCCACCCCTGTCTTAGTGAGATAATAATACGGCCACCTTACAGATGTGGGATGTCCATATGCTGACTAACACGACATCATGATTGCACAGGTGAGCCTTCGGCTGCCCACAATGAACGGCCAGACTCTTAAAATGTGCGGTTGCTATCACAGCAACGTTTCCTTGAATCACCGCTTGGACTTTTCAATGAGAAGTTTGCAAACTGGCTCCTTGTGCTTATGTTGGGACTCTCTCAGGAGGTCCTCCAATCAGATTGTGATGGCATGTCGGGGGCCGGCGTGTGTACATGAAAGTGTATATATTTCCTTTTATGAGGCCGCAGGATGGAAAACGTCCTCCTTTCTGTGCCTCCCTTTGTCTTCTCATGTACGATTTGGTCAACATCCTCCTTTTTCCGGAATGTTCTCGAATCCAGAGAGACGTGCGAGTGAACGCATGTGAAAGCGGGGCCACCGGGGATGGAATTCAGGGTTACCTCTCACACAGGCACAACTGAGAAATTCGCCGACGTACCGCTGAATCTCTTCCACGCACGACTGAAAACGTTCTCAGACGTGACTGAAGCGGTCTCAACCTCACACCTGAAATGCTCTCACACAGACTTCTGAAAAGTTCTCATACACACCAGGGAAACACTCTCATGCACAATACTGAACACTAACACGCACGACTGAAACCGTCACGCTCACTACCAAAATGCCCTCATCTGTGTTGATGTGTGGCCAGCACTGATGTAATGAAGTCCAACTCCGATTGATGGCGGCGGATCGTAGGGCGGACACATCGATACATCGATGAAATAAATGTCTCGTCACACCCTTTCTTGCAGTATTAATGAGGCCAATTCATCCCCAAAATTGGGGTGTAGATCTTTTGAAACTTGCAGGTCTGGCCATGAGTCATAGAATGAGAGCTTGATTGCTCGAGGCTGTCCCGGGGTGACTTACAACCAGTTCTGACAGGACTTCCACGAGCACACACCCACATGCGCTCAAGAATGTGCAACCAGGTAGCAACACGACACTTTTGGAGAAAGTTTTGGAGCAGGTTTTTGATTATTATTTTTTTTTTCCGTTGGCTTCTCTTCATCTGTCAATGCCAGCAACAGAAGAGTGGCAGGAAGAAGAATTTCATGCTATTCCATGAGAAGGCAGATGGGACAATTAACCTGTGTATCCACCTGTTGCCATCAAATAATTTTATATTTTTTTGTTTTTTTTCTCCCCCCCCAATTTTGATGCTGTAGACTGCAAATTTCCCCAGTGTGGGACAAATAAAGGTTATCTTATCTTATATGTACAGTATATGTGTGCATCCATTTTTGGGTGTCCTGTTGGATTTTTGATCAAAAACAATTTAAAAAATGTTTATGATATTTTTTTCTTTTTTTTTGACACATGATTTTTCTAATTTCAAAAAAACTGTCAATAAATAGAGAAGTTTAGGAAACAGTAATTTAAAGTGCAACATGCCCTCAGGTCACTGGTTATTACCCAAGACATCGGTGACTCACCAAAGTATTTCTTCGGAGTCAAAGCATAGCCTGGGATTTTTTTTTTTTTTTAATTTATGTTTTTGTCTTCTCGCATAGTGTGAGTCAGCCATGTCACTGAGGTGGAGATTTGCACTCAACTGCTGTCATATTTTCATACCAGATTTGCAGGAGCCACGTCTCTGCTGAAATAGAACTCCTCAAAGGACACGAATGACTGTTCGGAACCAATCCTAGCTCACTGATTTATTCACATTGTGAGCACACATTTTCTCCCAAAACACATCGTACAAAGTCTCAATCTCATCATGCTTGCTCAACCAAATTTTCCTCCACGTTGGCACACTTGCATTCCGATACTTCCTTGTGTATATATATATATGATATTGCTAAAACAGCGATTATTTTAAGAGCGGATTTGAAAACACAGAAATGCCGTGTTTGCATTTCGCCACCTGCCTGTCGGCGAGAATTGGTTCGCTTTTGTCCAAGTCTTTGTAACAAGTGCACGTTGAGCCACATACGAATGACTGCTCGGAACCAATCCTAGCTCACTGATTTATTCACATTGTGAGCACACATTTTCTCCCAAAACACATCGTACAAAGTCTCAATCTCATCATGCTTGCTCAACCAAATTTTCCTCCACGTCGGCACACTTGCATTCCGATACTTCCTTGTGCATATATATGATATTGCTAAAACAACGATTATTTTAAGAGCGGATTTGAAAACACAGAAATGCCGTGTTTGCATTTCGCCACCCGCGCGTCGGCTAGAATTGGGTCGCTTTTGTCCAAGTCTTTGTGCACGTTGAGCCATGTCCGTTTGTTTTGCCCACGTGCTTTCAAAAAGACAGTTCAACTTCCTGCCAGCTGGGAAAGCCCTGCAACACTGTCGTTGGTGTTTTTGGTCATCAAGCGAGCGGAGTATGATGCTACTATCCATCCCACGAATAAGATGATCCATTTCGGAAATTTCAACGCCGCCTTGGTTTGATTTCGATGATATAAACAAGCTACGCAGAGCGAGTTCAGCAGGTCAAGGGAGAAGAAACCTCAGCAAAACCGCAGTGCAAATGGAACTTGTTGCTCTTCCCCCACAGCCATGTTTTTTTTCCTCCGTGCAAGACGACCCCGCGGCCCATGAGTGATGGCCTGTTTAGTTTAACCTTTGACCCGCTCAAGAATCTGTACAAAACACATTTACTCCAAAAGTGCCTGGAGGAACCAGAACACCAAACGCGTCGTCTCCTTCCTTCCGCCGATTTCGGAGATGATCCAATTAAAGCGACAATGCAAATTAATCAGCAAATCAATTGTGTTCCATAAACTCAATTAGGTGTGTCATGTTTCTGGTTCCCGGCTGCTTTGGTGGATGCTGATTATTTATCAGGGTGACAGAGACATGATGCTTCCATGGGGGGGAAGGGGGGCAACATTACTCATTTAACAACAAACATTTCATCAAATTCTATCTACAGTGGTACCTTGTTTTAAGAAATTAATGTGTTCTGGAAGAAATTTCTTAACGAGAAAATTTTGTAAATCGAGACGCGTTTTCCATGTAAATGCCCTAATCCGTTCCAATTCCCCCAAAATTCAGACATGTTTTCTAAAGCATAAAAAAAGCATCGAAATATGTCACAAATACATGTTACAATTAAGATTATTGCACAATAAATGAGAGTTGTGCATCATGTAAAAAACAAAGAATAAAGTAAAGAATAATTTTGTTAAGAACTGATTCTTTTGTCGGCCTTTTGCTTTTGTCGGCTTTTAATAATCCTTTGAAAATGTCCAAGGCAAACATCAGCAAAGTAAGCAATCGCCCGACTGGTGAACAGTTTTTCGGGGTTATTGACATTTACGTAAAACTTTCGGAACGCCTCACGGCCCGAGAGGCAAATGACAAGGACGCTGCATTGACACACATCTATTTATCTACACGCATAGACACACACAGTAGAGGTCCCTCTTGGCCAATGGGATGCCAGGAAGATGCTCGATAATAGCCAATGGCAGAGCAGTTATCACTATGTTGCGTTCAGGAAACTCAGAGCTGCAAATGCCAGCTCATACTGTATTTTTACCTTTCGTATTTTGAAATTTCTTTCATGACAAGATGCAATATTTTCCTGTTGGGACGTTTCATAACTTGAAAATTTCGTATGAAGAGACGTTCGTGAGTAGAGGTACCACTGTATTGTGATTAGCTCCCACTGTTGGGCAGAAACAAATGGCAGCATTTGCATAGTGCATGCATATCTTTGTTGACACTGTGTTGTTTGTTGCCAAGAGTTGCACTTTGTTTAATTACAAGATGAAAAGAGCACATTGAAATGCACCAAAAGGGGAGGACGGCGGCAAGGGTGATCTATAAGGGCGAGAAATGTGCACGCAAATCAGTCACGGCACTCAAAATCTCCACTGCGGGATCATAACTCTTGATTAACGGCATTATCTCACATTGGCTGACTCAGGAAGATGAAGGAGGGAAAGAGCGAGCGAGGAGAGGAGTGAGATCTTAGGGCGGAAATAGAATCCGTCATCTGATAAATGTCAAAGAAACGATGATTGCGACGTAGCAATGACACTCGCCTTACATTATAGCCAGGAGTCAGCGCTGTGCGTGATGTGAAAACCCCCAAAATAGGCTGCTAGGTGTCCACTTTAGAGCGCCTCGTTGTCAGGCGTGAGGGCGCAAATGTCACAGAGAGAAGGCGGAAAAGCGAAGGGGGTTAAAAAAAAAAAAAAGGGTCTTGACAGCCAGCAGGTCGACAAAAGCGTTGCACTAATGTGATCGATTTAGAGCGCGTCGTCGTTGCGGCGACCTGCTCAGACATATTCTATCCACCGGAGGCTTTGAGTGGATATATTTTTGCATCTTGAATATAATTTATGATCTTAGGACAGATGCTAGACAAAGTAGCATTCGTTTTGTTTTTCGGTTGTAGACACTGTTACTTGACTGACAATCAAGCGGGACGTGGTTTCCGCGCATTCGGTGGACAGGTCTGCGGCATTTTAAGAACTGAGAGAACAATTTGATTTTTTTTTTTTTGTTCTGGATTTTGAAGCTACATTTTAGATCCGTGACCATTTTTAGAATCATTCAAATTTGGCAGAGTTGAGTTCAGAACATTCTTGAAATAAAACCCTCTCATTGTCCAGAGACTTGAGGAAATAATCAAATTCACACATGCGGGATTGTGGACACTTCCGCTGTAATCTCCACAATATGGAATCAATTTGAGTGCGTCAGTGTGTGTGTGTGTGTGTGTGTGTGTGTGTGTGTGTGTGTGTGTGTGTGTGTGTGTGTGTGTGTGTGTGTGTGTGTGTGTGTGTGTGTGTGTGTAAGAGAGAGAACAGCAAGAAAGCAAGTCGGACCAAATATTTACTGGATGAAACACAGGCACATTCAGTGAGCTCACTTTCATCGACATCGAGTAGTTACGGCGTTACAGGCAGGGCACGAGACTTCCACGTTACGTCAACATCTCAATAGCATTCCGTTCAAGCATTTTTTTTTTCATTTCTGAAATGTCGATTTCCTAAAAAGCACATTCATGATCACAACAACGCAACCCTGCCAGACTGTCACAATCAATATTTGTCGTATTCATAGAATCATTTGGATATTTATCCTATTCTAATACCAACCTGCAATTTAGAATAAGAAAAAAATATGTATTTTGTGGGTGGGGTGGAGCATTTCTTGCTTCGAAATGGTAGCAGTGTCGGACTTAGAGAGAACATAGTGACAAAGTAGTAACACACACACATACACACTTCTCGAACACATACATCACAGGCACAGGAAGGCGGTGAGCAATGTACTGCCAGTAATTCAGATGGTACCTTTATTCTTGTAAACTTTAAGGCAGCGGTCCCCACCTTTTGTCCCACGGACCGTTTTAATGTCAGACAATATTTTCATCGACGGATGAATACAACAAAATGATATGATATGACCTGCATGAAAAAGCACGAATCAAATACGACTCACTGTCGCCGCATATTATGCAGAGTGGGCTTGGTGCGTGGGAATCTCCCTTTGAGATAAATCCGTATTTTAAGTAGGACACCTGATACTGTCGTTTAAATGTAGCCTTCTTTTTCTTGGAAGTCGTCGGCTCCTCTTCTGTCTCATGGTTGGGCCTTTTCCCCTTCCCAAACAAACTTTCCAAAGATGTTTGGGGGTTTTTCTCCTCATTTTGCTAGCTCCTGGCTTTCATTTTAGCGGTAACCGATTACGTGACCAAGAAGCACGCCTTCACCTGCGTCAAGAGTGGCATACTGTAGACAGATGTAAGAGAGAATCCGGCAATTTTTCAAAATAAAACATATTTTAGATTCCCAAATAAATAAAACTGAAGTAATGCAAGTTATTTATTCTTTCTCTGCGGCTGCGTTCGCTGCTTTAAGGGACCAAAATATCAATATATATTTCTCAATTATGAAATAATTATTTAGTTATCGAAATGTGATTCTACCAGATGTCAGCCTCGAAAAAAAAAAAAAGCTAGATTGATTGGGTACTGCTGCACACAAGCCTTAGCCAATTAGCCTTTAAAAATGTTTTAAAAAAAAAAACTCTAGTATTTAACACACTTAACTTGACAGAATTCACACACGCACGAACATATCTGAGCTACAAGTCATTGAAACAACCCGGACATGATAAGGAAGTGCCAGCAGCTGATAAAACTGGAACTGCTCCAAAAAATAGATAAACAAAACGTTCAAAACTTCTGTGCCTCGTGTGATTAGCAGGGTGATCCAACCCTGTGACCTTTTGACAGCTAAAATAAATACAACGATCAAATCACAAAAAAAGAGGAAAAGAAATCCTAGTCATACATTTGGTGGAAAAGACTCCGTGTATTCCAGTTCCGGGCACGACAGCTCGACATTAGCCGGAGGCTCTTTGGACGTTGATGAGTTGAGCCGAGAAGCCTTCGAAGTTCTTTGGGTGAGTCTACAAATGGAGACGTAGCAAAAGTGCACCACGCCGGGAGAGAGCAGGATGAAGACCCAGGGGTCAATGATGGAGTTGACCGAGATGAAACGGAGGGCAATCAGGTCCAAGGGGTGGGACTCGCTGCGTACCCCAACCGAATTGATGTACACGCGAATCTGGAACGACAAAGAAATGAGGGTCTTGCATCAGCTTGGCTCGACATCCGATTTTTTTGACGACGTATTTCGATGGACACATTATTGCGCCGTGATAAATCGATGGCGGAAGGTTCAACAAAACCCGTTGCCATCCATGAAACGGAATGATAATTTTGCCTTTTGAATTTATGAAGAGATTGTCACTGACGACGCTGATGACGACGTGAATGAATACATTTGTGAATTCATTGGGGAAAGATGATTATTATTTCAGTGTATATGCCTTTTTGGGGGGATTTTCTTTCGTCCTGAGAATTTTCATTTTGCAAGTGCAAAGGTCTGTTTTTACAATAACTGACATGTAATTATAAATATGAGATTACAATCACAGGTCATAATTTTTATGTATTATAAAGTGTTGTATTTTTCAGTATGTGATATGTATTTTTTGGTATGACTAAATTATTAAAAATATCAAAGATGTGACCTTCCTAAATTAAAAGTGCATATTTTTGAGGGGAAAAGAATGATTTCCTCGATTTCTACTCATTCGTATTAGTCCCCCCGCCCCCACACACACACACACACCTTTCCTTTGTGTCCACGCAATCGCAAATCAAACATGACAAACCAAGAAGAGGAAGAGCAGTGGCAAATCTGACAAAAAAGGCTATTTCGTGGCACAGCTATGGGTGGGGTGGGAAGCTTGCTGGTGGGTCGGTGAGGTTTGTGGGCATTTGTCAGTCACACACAGGGTTTCATGATCGAGGGTAGAAGGTGATCTTGAAGTGCTCACTTCACAGCGGCCAACTTTACATCATCCACAAGTGGAGATCTTGCAGTTCCTTCTCAACTTACTTGCTTACATGCTTCGCCATGCAGACTCTCCTGCACTGAATTAAAAGCAAACGAGACGAGACCGGGAAGCTGGGCCACTGTGCTCACTCCCATGACGGCGCAAATGTCCGTTTCTAACAGCGCAAAGAAAGAAAACTCCACCCATGTGCACACTTAGACCAGCCTCTGTCTTGCTGTTTACAGAGTTTCCTATTTTTGGCAGGAGAGGAAAACGTGTGATTGCACAGACTAAAAATTTGACCAAGACACCTTTTTTTTTTTTTTTTTGTTCCAATAGAGCTCCCACTGAAGTGTGAATTCACAGTAGTGAAGTGCCAGACAACCATTCACACATTTTCACTGAGAGGGAACTAAACCCTGGCTCAGACGAGCGAACCACTACATCAAGGGTGCCCATAAAGGATCGCATGAGCTACCAGTACGTCGCCAATGGAGCGTCAGTAGCGCTCATGGCATGAACTCAATCACTGCCAGCCCTTCCAGTTTTATGCTATTGACACAGCTGCCCGCCATCGGCAATGAATGAGTTACAACCCCCCACCCCCCCAAAAAAAAGTACACTCCAGTCTACGTTTGTTGTGAAATTTGTCACTTGATTGACATACCGCGTCCCCAGACATAAGCCTGTTGCATACCTCGCCGATACGGGTTCACGCAGTTATGCAAGCTCGGCCAATATAGAGTGTAAATGGAACGTATATTTCAAATAAATAAAGTAGGTCGATCATTTGGACTACCGTACTTTACGCACTTAAAAGGCGCACCTAAAAGCCTTCCATTTTCTTAAAAGCTCACAGCGCGCCTTAAAATCCGATGTGCCTTGTGTATGGGCATTACGGTAATATGTCGACCCCCGAAATGGCTCCTTGCTCGAGACATGCTGACAACGCAGAGTTCAAACTTAAGGCGATCGGTTTCGCAGTTGAACACGGAAATCGAGCCGCGGCAAGAGAGTTCAACGTTAACGAGTCAATGTTATAACTTGCTGTTGGTTTAGTGAACTGTATCGCTGCTTTATTCAATACGTTTTACTGACATCTGATCATTCTGTTGGCGTTTCCTTGAGCGTAGCTCCATCTAGTGGATGCATTGTAGATTGCGTCTTATAATGCGGTGCGTCCAATTTATGAAAAAAACTATAAAATAGGCCATTCATTGAAGGTGCTCCTCATAATCCAGTGCATATTTTAGTGTGGAAAATACGGTACTTCATTTTCAAAGTAGCTCGCACGCTGACAAATTGCGGGCGCCCCTTGCACTACACGGTCAGTGACTCACAACCCAAAGCATTTCATTTCAATCGTCTGGACCTCAGAAAAGGTGCCCGAAAGTTCATCACTTATTCATTCAAAACCGGCGTGAACCAAACCAAACCTGCTTGATGGAAAATAACATCCAAGTGAATGTGTACTTTGAACAATAAAACAACTTTCTCAAGGGGCATACCGTGTATATGCGCAGGTCACCGTGAGGTATTGTATTATGAAGCTGCACACTTAATGACAGATACATAATCAGTGGCATTGTGTAATAACGCCCGAGGGTGTCTGGACCAAACTCCTTCGATTATCAGGTGAATACAATCCATGGAAGCCGTGACGAGTTCACAGGTTTTGAAATTGCTGCCGCTGATCTCTCCGGGGGGAGTTGCAGGGGAACAATGGTCAGCAACTTTTAGTCAGCGAACAATACTTTGTCCTCATTCCATTCGCGCACAAAACCCTTTCTATCCAGGCTAATAGAGAAACATAGATCGAGGGTCACCAATGTGGTGCCCGTGGGCACCAGGTAGCCCCAAGGACCACATGAGTAGCCCAGCGGGCCTGTTCTAAAAAACAAACACTCAACCAGTGATGAGACACTGCGATTTGCTCGGAAAGTTGCAGAAGCGATCAACGTGAAAATGTAAACAATGGCAGAAATGGATAGAAATAAATGATTGTGACACTTCAAGCACCTGTAACTTTTGAGTAATTGACCTGTCTTGTGGAATTGTGCTTCAAATTAAGAACTTTATGGTGACCGGGTGGTTGGTTAAGCATTTCGCGGTCAATATTCCCGAAAAAAATTTAATTTTTAACCTGATTAAGTCAATGAGTGCAACCATGAACTCCAATTAACTCCAGTGATCTGCAATGAAAGATAGTTTTACTCCTGTACTATTGTGTGTACTTGTTTCCCCAAGTTGGAAGGTTACGAAAAAAAAAAAAAAAAGAATAAATAAATAAATTTTAAAAAGTTCACATTTTTGTGAAAACTTTCAGTGCAACCGAACAATAGTAGAAATGAACAAAAATTGTAGTACCCGATGAAAAACATCTTGGCCTTTTTTTTTTTTAAGACAAAGCAGCACTGAAAACAATTGCAAAGTGTCCGGTAGATTTTGACGAATGCAGAGTACGACAAGACTCGATTTTGTTAATTCTGATCTCATTCCGATGTATTATTTTCTTTTTCCAATCAGCATTTTCTCTCTGCTAATATGCTAAAAAAATCATCTTCATAAATAACTGGTGGCCCATAAAATGCACACCCCAGTTTTGAGATTGGCTGAAAAAGGGCAATCTGATCCTGTGGGATCAGACTCACCTGCAGTATCGTATTGCTGCAGCCATCAGAGTCCAGAAAAAGCTCCTGATAAATTATACATTTCCACTCGTGTGCCATATTGTGTTGAAATGTCACTGCAATGTCTGTCTGGGTCGCTCTTTATGAACGATTCAGTCACTTTCAATAGGAGCTCTGAATAAAAGTTTCCTGGAATCTTCCAATTCGGGGCCACAATCGGCCGAAATACAGGAGAGATGTGAAGAGTAGCTGGGCAGATACAGTTAGCAGGCATAGTCAGAAATTTTGTGTGTGTGTGTGTGTGTGTGTGTGTGTGTGTGCGTGCGTGCGTGCGTGCGTGCGTGCGTGCGCGTACGCGCGTGCGTGCGTGCGTGTGTGTGTGTGTGCGTGTCCATCCATCCATCCGAGCCGCTTTATTCAAACAAGGGTCACAGGGGGTGCCGGAGCCTATCCCAGTCGTCTTCGGGCAGTAGGCGGGGGACACCCTGAACTGTTCGCCAGCCAATCGCAGGGCACACAGAGATGAACAACCATCCACGCTCACACCTTGGGACAATTTCAAGTGTTCAATCAGCCTGCCATACATGTTTTTGGAATGTGGGAGGAAACCGTATTACTAGGAGAAAACCCATGCAGGCCCGGGCAGAACATGCAAACTCCACACAGGGGGGCTGGAGCCGGGATCGAACCCACAACCTCTGCACTGTGAAGTTGACGCGCAAATCACTGGACTACCGGGCCGCCCCGCACACACATATAAAAGGATATAACTACTACTTTTTACTCTTACTTCTGTCATTTCCTACAGCACTCCTACTTGAGTCCATTTTGTGGCTACTCTACGGACCTGACATTGTTTTTTACGGCGCAAGCAAGCGTGCCTGTTGCTCTGCTCTTACCACAAGGGGCAGCGTGCAGATGATGAAGATGATGGTCATGAAGACCAGTAGGATGAGATGGTCCACCTCCTCCACCATGGGTATGGGCCTGCGCTCGCTGTTGCAGTGTGCGCTCGCCGTGACGGAGCCTCCGTTCCTCCTCCGGCGCTGGTACATGCGCAACAACTGGTAACCCACAAAGGCGTTGCACGCCACTATGGCCAGCACCAGTACTAACATCACCGTGGCGTACAGGTTGGCGTAGACCCGGTCTTTCTTCCCCTCTGGATTCATGTCAATGAAGCACCAAGTGCCGGGGCAATATTGCACATATTTCCCAAATCCCACAAAAGGGAGGAGACAGAATAGTATGGAGACCAAAAACACCACGGGAATTGTGAAGTAGGCTAATTTTTTGGTGACGTGCCGAGTGTACAGGTAGGGGTAGCCGATCGCCAGGCATCTTTCCAGAGCCATCATGAGGAGAAGAGACATGGTCGCCAAGCTGAAGAAGGTCATGCTGAATCCAAAGTAGGCGCACACCCCGTGAGTGTCGGGTGACATTCCCTCCAAGGTGATGTTGCGCGAGTACGACAGCTGGACAAGCGGACTGACCAGACAGGTCCCGCCCAAGTCCGTGACCACCAACGACGTGATGAGGACGTGGAAGAGCGCGCGTCGCCGACTGTCCGCGGCCTTCGCGTCCCGCCGGCGCCGGATCTCCAAGATCACCAGGGCGGCCACGTTGCCCAGGAGGCCCGCGGCGAACATGACGGCGCTGATTACGGGACTCTTCCTGGAATCGACGTGGTGCTTGCTGTGGCAGGGGTCGGGTAACTCCATTCCGTTTGAAAACTGCGCCACCGTCGTCCCGAAATATGTCTCTCCCCTTCCGAAATGGTGTCGACAACATTTCACTTAGTCGTCGCGAGCAGCCATCCTGTCTGAACACAAATTTGACCTCGTGAGCAAGATAGGACCCAGACGTGATGTCACATTTATCTCTGACAGTGCCAAGGCAAGTTACGACTCGAGTTGCACTCACTAGAGCAGCGTTTCCCAACCTTTTAGAAAATATCTCAAGGCACATCACCACACAAAAATGTCACCCAAAATGAAGAGACTTAGCCCAAAAAATTAGGGAAAGCAAAATGGTGAAAAACAGTTTCTCACGACAATTTGGCACCACCTACACTTTTCTGCCTTCCCACATGTTTTCAGCAATTACTTTCTGACATTTGTCACGTACTAAGAAACAAATCTGTGATTTCAATTTTCAGAGTATTTTATGATGACAACAGTTGGATTAAATGGCTAAATCTAGTTTTCAATTAGAAAAACGGATTCTGAATTCAAATAAGGCAGAGGTCAACTAGCTTCTTTAAATCATGTTTTTGACGATCACAAAGCGTTTGCATGGCACTGTTCTCGATAAAGGTCATGAAATGACCGAATCGAGCGCGAGATGGATAAATGCATTCTAAATGCAAAAAAAAAAAAAAAAACACTTGACCCTCATGACATTGTTAATCCGTTTTATGTTTTGTTCACAAACCACTTCATCAGAACTACACTTTTCGCCGAACCTGTTTGATGCTTGTCTAAATCGATCAAGACCTTTCATTTCAAATCACAATATTCGACACAAAATAAATATCAACAGCAACAATAAAAATGTACGTATACATGCGGCGAAAACACCGCGGCGGCAAGATAACAAACAATGCCTTTCGCATGTTGAAAATTAGGAACGGCGGGAAAACCAAAAATCAACGCAACACCCCCACGAAATGAACTTAAAAATCACTCCGAACAGAAAATCGCATCAACTCTCGCCTCCGTGTGAACACATTTGATGTGTTTTCCATTCATCCCACTGTGAGCCTTTTGTTTGACTCGTTCCATTTGAGCACAGGTGGGGCACTCGATGGACGCAGAACCGAGACGTGCTCCTCTGCCCTTTTGACGGTCGACGGACGCCAGACAGCCTGGAGCTCCGATAAAAGCTGTCTGTCTCCAAAGAAATAAAGGTGCTTGCTCAACCGAGAAGCCTTTCTCCGAGAACGCAACATTGTACACGATTTGGGGATCTTTCGAGGTTCGTTATTGGTTCTCTAGAAAGGTATAGTCAGTGTAAGAACCATTCGGTTCAAATTTGGTGCTATATTCTTCATTTTTGTCTGTTTCCCAACAAATTAAGACATCCAAAATGACACACGTCGCTCCAAATTGTGTCTTTCCAATTGCAAATGTGTCCAATAGTTTATCCAAACAGCGAGACTGGAGTTACTGTATATTTTACGCCACTACATGCGAGGACACTTATTTTTACCTTCAAAAAAACGAGTTCAAAACAATTGATCAAATGTCTGTCCAGTTGAGTGGCACTGTGCTTAAGTGCGCAAAATGTCCCGAAGTGTGATGGGCGAATATACGCAATCAAATGTGAAATGCTGACTTAGAATATATAATTACAAGAACGAGTTGTAGCGAGTAAGATGTTATTATTATTATTTTTTTATTCCTTCCATGCAAGTCGCGTCAAATGAGTGACAAGTACCCAACCAAAACAGCATCCAAATTTAACAACAACAAAGTTCTCACCTATCGCACGGGATTGATCCTCTTCGTCATGTTTCCAGTCCTCGGTGTGTGTGGGGGGTGAAAACGTATCTCCAAGATCCGAGCGCGCATGAAGATGCAGAGTAATGGGGAAGCAACTGACAGAAGCGGACCCGGGCGAGTTGGAGCGCTGCGGTGGCGTCACGCGATTTGTCCACGCCCACCGCTGCAAAAGCTGCACAGCTTGAAAAGTGAAGGCTGCACAATAAAAGTCAAACCGCAACAGACGGGATTGTAGTCATTGGACTTCCAAAAAAGTGACAGCGGCCACAGACATTTCTGGAAAACAACACAATGACAAGCGATTGTTTTCAACAATTCTATTTTGAGTGTCAATTGATAAATATAGCCTCCATAATACTGTATACTGTATGGTGATACAGAGATACACTTGTATCAATCAGAGGCGGCAAAATGTTCACACTCTTGGGCAAATGTACAGATAAATGCATACCTGGAAAAAGTAGTAGCACTGATCTCACTCCTTTCTTTTGGTAAAAGTAAAAAAAAAAAAAGAAAAGCAGGGAAAATAAAGGGGGGAAAAAGAAAAGAGACACCCTGGAATGTACTGAAACGTTTTTTCTTTTACTGTGAATTAGACACAACACCTGTTTTTCATTTTTTTCAGTGACGGTTAAAAAAAGTGTACTCTGACAAATTCAGGAGTTGACAGTACAGATTTCTGTGTTCAAAAGTGGGGAGTAAAAGTATAAAGTAATCGGAAAAATAGACACTTAAATTACATCTAATTTAGTGGTAGCATTGAGGAAAAATTGCAGTTCTTTGAATATAATCCAAACCAAAAAACAAACATGCACACGGTAAGTCATGAATATATTCTAATGATGCTCCAGTAATATTTGCACAGTTAGTACAAAACGGCAAGTACACGGTGTCCCAATTGTTGCCGTGCACTTCCTTTTTTCGACTCCGGGTTTCATTTGGGCAAATGTGAGGAAATCCGCATTTGAGAGTTTATTTTGCAGTTTTTGCAAGTACAGTATCACATTCATTCCTTTTGCCCATGGCTCGCCATTTGGCCTTTGATCAACGTTGCAAGATTTAGTGGTTTTTAACCTGGGTTCGATCGAACCCTAGGGGTTCGGTGAATAGGTCTCAGGGATTCGACGAAACTTCTGCCATGGAGGATAAGGCACACCCGACTCAACGTGTCAACACACGCCCGCTTGTCCATCGCTGGCTGCAGATGATCACATGACATGGCTTGTCCAATCAGTGCTGCGGGAAATTTAGCTCACTCAGTCGTCAGTGTGACTGTCGTGATCGTCCGTCATACCATGAAAAAATATATATACTTATGCCATGTAATTTTATTTACTGTTTTCTGTTTTTAATAAATGTATTTTTTAATGTCTTGAATTTGGAAAAAAAATAAAATCATATTTTTATTTTTCACTAATGAAGGGTTCGGCGAACGTGCATATGAACTGGTTGGGTTCGGTACCGCTAACGAGGTTAACAAGCACTGCTCTAAAATGACGACAGTTGGCTTCGTCGGCAGCACTGCCAGTGGCTGATGGCGGCTAACATTTGCTGACTGAACGTTTTCAGTGATGAAGTAGGAACGCTCCGCTTGTTTGTTTCGTGTCTTAAAAAGTCTTCTTTTTTTTTTTGTAATTGACATGTTTATACTGTATTGCGTGTTCATGTTTATACATCTCGAAATGTTCATATATCGTATTATACCGTACATAGTAGTTGGCGGCCATTTTATTGGAAACGTTTACGACGAACGACCGTTGTAACGTACGGATTCGTGATGTCCGTCGACGTACGTTCTCACGAGGTTCGACGACAGGTATTTAGCTTTACGCGAAAGCCTGCCCCAGGACTTCGGTGTTTCCATCAGTGATGGTCGGAGTCGACCTTTTGCTGCCTTTGTTTGTCGAAAACCACATCCTGTTTTGAGAAGGTTACCATGAAACAAGGACGTTGTGCGACGCTTTAGGGCAGCGTGACGGCCATGAAGCTGATTCAAGCATGATGCATTTGGGACAACTTATAGTTTAAAGTGATAGATCATGTTTTTAATGCAAATCACTATGATCGAATACACCCAGTATGTGCAGTGTATGAAACTGTTGGCATGCATATGATGCATGCATCATATTTCATACTTGAAACTTGAAAGAAACTCAGACATTAAAGTGCTGGTCTCGTCAAATTCTGAAGTAACAATTAAAAAAGCCATCAAGTCTGTCCCTGGTTACACAAAAGATAAACTGGTTTACATTTTACTGGTCCAAACCTAAAACCAATGTGCCAAACTGGAATTTTTAGCCCGTGATGCAAACAGATTTGACAGTCCTGCTCTATGCAATTATCATATACAGGATTGCCCGCCCCCCCCAATCCCACAACCCCCGAAATCCGATTTATTGATGTAGTGCACATGTGCTGCGATTTGCAACTGATCCACCCTTGAGCCTGCACTAATCCACGTGAATCCAACTCAAGAGTGCAGTGCCCTTTGCTCTTTGTGTACGCTCTCCACTTATTGATTAACGCCTGAATCTGTGAGTCCCCTGCTTGTCAACAGCTTATTGTTGTGGCGGAAGCATGGCAGGTGCTTAAAGAGCTGGCAAATGCCACCTTCATAGATTCGACACCGCACACGCACGCACGCAGATTTTCCCAGAAATGACTGCAAGCAGTGTCCCAATAATGACCGAAATGCATCATTTCTGTGCATTTGTTTCCGTGTGCACACTAATGGCCCCCTTTGAATTATTGATGAGTTTATTGGATTTTTCTGTGGGTATCCTATCCCACAAATGCAAGCTGAGGTCAGCAGCGTTAGATATTTATTGCAGTCACGATCATTAATTACAGGATAGAGGATTTTGCATCGCGCAGTGCAGTACAAACACTGTTAATGTTTTTCAGTATTTTTTTCAGTGCTTAATAATCATTTTTACTTTTTGCTGACATTTCAAAGGACTTAACTTTCGTAAAGTAGTTGAACTCGTGCTTCTACTTTGACCAAAGTCTTTTTGTTTGTTTTTGGTTTTTGTGTTGTTGCTCTTTCTGTTCCTTTTTTTTTGGCCAAAATATCTGCACTTCTGCAGTGTGCGTGTTTTTGCCACCTCTGGAATAGTGCTGAAGTTATTGATTGAATCTTAAAGTGTCGGATGACCGTGGGAAAAACTCATGCAATCACCCAATTTTAAACTAACACCAACATGACAGTGGAGTACAATACTTTGGCCCATTCTAGTGGCATGCAAAAAGCATGCCTGGCCAAGTACGATTCAGACAATTTTCCTATACTGAAGCCCAGTGTAAATGTTCAAATTGTGCCCAATGTTCCAGTGACTTGCAATATTATTTTCATTAACACTTAGAACTACTATGCCACTGTATGTTAATTTTAGTCTTTAATGGTGGTACTTGGAGCGTTTGTTTGTTTTTTTAAAGATGGTACCTAGTACGTTGTGTACAAGAGAATGATTGCACTAGAGCAGGGGTCCCCAACCGCCGGGCCGCGGACCGGTACCGGTCCGCAGGGCATTTGGTACCGGGCCGCACAGGAAGAACTTGCCTTTTTTCCGTTTTATTAATTTCGGAATGCGAAATATGTTTTATTTTGAAAAATTACCGGATTCTCTGTTACATCCGTCTGTGTCACGCCTGACTCACGTCAAGGCACACTTCTCGGTCAGGTGACCGATGACGCTCATAAACAAAACGCTGAAGCCTGCAAAATTTGTAAAAAAGCTGCTTGGAGATCGCAAATGACGGCGGCCTTAAAAGTACGTTCGAAACAACTGGATCAAAGTTATGGCTGAATACTCTGAGATCGCCACAATAGCACTGTTGCTATTTCCGACATCCTACCTGTGTGAGGTGGGGAGTTTCTGCAACAACAGCGACTAAAACAAAATTACAAAGTAGACTGGACATAAACCACACACTTGAGGTGTCATTGTCTCCTATTACCCCGAGATGGGACTGTCTGATTGCAGAAAATCAAGCTCTGGGCTGTGGTGAGTCGTCATTTTCATGCACTTTGAATTTGCGTTGTATCGTATTTTGAAGGCATTAAACATTACCAGAGCGATAAGAGTGTTGCGACCAGATTAGACGCTCCTTGTGTTTATTATTATATTTCGAAAACAAAACAGTTTTCATGCAGCTCATACCATATTATTTTGTTGTATTAATCCGCCACACCTTAAATGCCGGTCCCTGAAAATATTGTCTGACTTAAACCGGTCCGTGGGGCAAAAAAGGTTGGGGACCCCTGCACTAGAGGTGTGTGGGCCCCCTCTAGTGGTATGCAAACGAATCACTGCCTAAGTACAGTTTCAACGTTTACCTTCAACACATTTGCATTTATATTAAAGAGTGGATTGTTTTGAAACATTTCCTGACACGTTTGATTGAACTTACGTACAATATATTTGAACTGAAGTATAGTTTTTTTTAAATATTCCTACATAGAAGTATAGTTTTGATGCCCAAACAGTATATTCTCACAGTAGTTTATAATTTTAAATACTTTTGTACACACAATTCTTACCATGAAAATATGTAATGTACTTTTACAGACGCTAGATGGCAACCTACGCCAAGTCTGTCAGAATGGCATTCATCGCGCAGTATTGACACACACCGCATGAATTGTGTTCTCATAAGAAGGTTTTAGCACACAGTAATGCAAGGTCCTTGAATTCATGCTTGGACTTTTTTTTTTGGGGGGGGGGCGGCATCAATTCTATTTTCGGTCCCTGCCTCATGCATCGTGGCTCCTGATATCTTTTGACAGGAGACCCCTGATTTCGTCTTCTCTGATCCTAATGTGTCTGTTTTTGGAATGCGTGAAGAGGCGACCCACGCGAGCACGCCAAGAACAAGAGAACTCCACACACCAAGACTGGAGCCAAGATTCGAACTTCAAACCACACAACTGTGAGGCTGACGTACCAGCCACACAACACAAATGATGCAGTAACACATGTAGACAGACAATATAACAATACGCCCATGCATATGTTCTTTATCCCCTGAGAGAAACAGCAAATATTACTGCAGATACAGAACAGAATAATTGATTTCATTCATTTCCTTGGGGAAATCTGATTCAAGATTAAATTAAACCTGTATCTCAAGGCACCACTGTACTTGAAATCTACTTTTAGATTTCATAAATACAGTAACCGCCCCACATCCCCACCCCTCCATGGTTTGTTCAAGGTTCACAGTACTGTACCACAATGTCACCGATTTTTTTTTGTGCAGTTAATAATGCTAGTTTACATTGGGTGTAATTCCAACATCAACCACTAGATGACAGTGAACTCGTTGAGTTTGAGTATTTTGAAAGAACAAAAATGAAATAGGAAGTGTTTCAACAGAGCCTAGTTTCTTGTTGTCAACTATTGAATGAGATCTCATGTCATCCTGCTTTTTCTGCCGACAGAATGTGACGGCTCGAGTTTCATTCCATAATGATTGCTGATTTATAATGATTATTGATGTATCTTGTGTGATGATAAGTTTGTTAGTTTGGAAATAACAGTATTTATTCACCCTAAACATGGGGGAGACCGCTACCAGTGTTTGTGCAGCATTTTTGTGTTGTCCATCGCTCTTGCGCTTCCTCAATATGTCTTATGTACTAAAATGTGTTTGCCGAAGACAACAGGGATGCGCTCCAGCACTCCAGCGACTCTCGTGAGGAGGAGAAACGGTTCCGGAAAGGTATGGATGGATGGATTATTTTGAAAATGTGTTTCAAGACCTTGAAGAAAATGTAAGTTGCTGTAAAGGCCATTAAAAAAACAAAAACATGCCTACTGTATATCACTCGATTTCACTCATTGCGGGGGTGGTTTGGAATTTAACCCCCACGATGGAGAGGGGAATTCTGTTTAAAAGTCGCATAAATATTAAATTTATATCTCGGGACTTTTATTTATGTCAAGAGAATCCAAGCACTCCCTGAGGAATATGAAAATGAAGGAATGTGTGATTTGTGCGACGAAGGCGATCGCGTCCAAGTGTGTAAAAATAATTCACGGTTTCGTAGTTGCGAAACCGATAAAAGTTGCATCTGGATTAAAAATGCTCTATTTGTTTTGTCTTAATTTGAGACAGATGTTGCTTCCACCGCTGTCGCCACCCACACTACCCCCCCAACACCACCCCCATATGCCCCACCAGCATCCCCTTAACTCCTCCCTCCCTCTCACTGAGTATTAGCGCCTCTGCTGAGTGGAGTTGTGGAGTTCTTCTTCTCTCTTTGCTCCCCGTGAGTCCAGCTGTCCCCTTGCTGCAGCTCCTTCTCCGGCCCTTCTGCAATGGAGAGAGGGCAAATGGTGACTGTTTACCTTCTGGGCCTGTGCTGCAGCATGTGCGCGGTTGCGGCCATCCCGAGGGCCCAAATGTTCCCCTATGGCATGTTAAGTGGAGATTCACTTTTGGAAGAAGGAGACGATGAAACCTCCAAAGTCATCTCTCTGCCTAAACCCTTCTACTTCTACGACACCCCCTTCTATCAGCTTTATGTAAGTACATTTGTATGCCTTGACTTTTTTTTTTTGTCTTTGCCCCCCTTCTCCCCCTACTACTGCAGCAGAATCCAAGTTCTCTCACTCGGAAGAGTGAACATCTCTGTTTTCTCATGTAGCATGTAATTATTTTCTTTATTTAACATGTACATGCAGCGGTTGAACGAGGCCGGGACTTGAGTTTTTCCATTCAGTGACCAGTAAAGGGAGCAGAGTAAACACATCGCAAATGACTCTTGCTGGGTTTATGTTCTTGTTTTATTTATTTTATATGACAATTGATTCATCTGTTGACTATATCATCTCACGGTGGTCTCAGTAAAAGCCTAGTTAATGCTGGGGAGGGTAAATGGGATCCTTACTGGACCACGTGAGGCCATTAGATTTGTGCAGGTGTTGCGTTTTGGTTTTGTGGATTAAATGTTGGTGGGGGGGGGGGTCCTAATCTACAAAGTAAAGCAGCAATACAAATGCAATGAATGTTTCGAAAACTGAAGTAAACAGGTGAGTGAACTATTAATTGAGGTATAGCGTTTGGGGAAATATACCATGCTCATCATTCGCAGTGGATATCAAAAGTCTACACACCCCTGTTCAAATGACAGGGTTTTGTGATTTTAAAAAAACTGATCATTTTTCCCTCCACCATTAGTGGTCTACAACTTGTACAACTCTTGATTTTTTTTTTTTTTTTTTTTTTTTACAATATATTATCAAGAGTGTAACTCAAACAACTAAAATAATGTGGTTGCACAAGTATGCACACCCTCTTCGAACCAGGTATGTGGTTGGGTTCAGAATTAACCAATCACATGTACAGTAACATTAAATAGGAGTTAAAATACACCTGCCACAATTTAAAGCGCCTGAAATTAACCCCCAAATAAAGCTGAGGTGTTTTGGCTTTGTCGCAGATGCCTGAACGTTTTGTGCTCATATTGACAACTATTTTGAACTGATCATATTTCCCTCCATCTTGACTCGTTCCCTCTGAAAAAGACAAAAAAAAAAAAAACATTCAAAGGCATATTGTTGTCATCATCATGGTTCACTGTCGATATGGTGTTCTATTACTAGTAATGAGCAGTGATGTGTTTGCGCCAAACATACCTGCCAAAATGCCCCAAAAAAATCAACCTTGGTTTAATCGGATGATGTGAAAATGTGTTTTGCTAAAATTGTGTGGCGGGAATTATGAACAATTTGAAATAGCAGGCATTATTCGCATAAAAACTTCAAGCATCTGCTAGAAAAAAAAAAGGGCAGGAAAAGCCTACTAGAACATCTGAACTTTATTTTAAGGTCATCAGAGGTGCCCTAAATGGTGGCAAGTGTGCGACGACTCCCATTCAACAGAAGTTGAAATGTGATTGTTACATTTCGAATGCAGCCACATCCCAGTTGTGAGAGGGTGTGCACACTTGTGCAACCGCATTATCTCAGTTGTCTCTTGAAACGGTTTGTAAAAATTCAGTTCAGTTGTACAAGTTAGAGGCTGCAATATGATGGAAAAGGTGATGTTGGTCACCCTTTTTTTTATGCCACAAAAACCTGCCATTTGCACAGGGGTGTGTCGACTTTTTCTATCCACTGCACATGTCGGCAGCACCTCAGTGTGCAGTGAGATGGCTGATCCTCCTCGAGAATGTTGTTGGTGCATTGAAAAAGAACTTGGGTCGACTAAAAGGCTCGGTTGGGCGGGGTGCTCTTGTATCCACGGTTCAAAAATAACACCGCAACGATGACCTCTTTGTGACGTTGTCCAGGTGGCCACCAACGGGTTCATATCAGCTCAGGACTTGCCGATGGAGACGCAGTACGTGGACGACGGCTTCCCCACGGACTTCCCGGTGGTGGCGCCGTTTCTGGCTGACATGGACACCAGCGGAGGACGAGGACAGATTTTCTACAGGGTGACCGAGACGCCCAGCGTGCTCAACAGAGTGGCCCAGGTGCGTTGACTCAAGGAAAAGAGCAAAGCGTCGTTTGCACTTTGAAGGCTAATTGCTTTTAACCACGCGCTTGTTAGCATGCTGAGTAAGCGGCCGAGACATTTTTCTATTGGCCCATTGAACTTTTTTTTTTAGTTTGAACATATCCCCAAAGTACACATTTCCCATACAGCAGCAGCAGTCGGTCTTGCTACGAAATGTTCAGGCTTCTGCTAGGAAGCCAAATATATTCGGAAAAGCCCACAAGAACAGCTGAAGTTGACTTTAATCAGAGATGCTTTAAACCCTGACGGGTATTCAAGACAAGTATGAAGTGAGTGGTTCATTCTGAACACAGCCGCATCCTTGTAATGAAACGAAAAACAAGAATTGGATTGAGTTGTAAAGATTGGGCGGATCGTTAACGGAGGCAAAAAAAATGTCGACAAGATTTATCGGAGTCTCATTTTTGCATCTCACAAAAACCTGGCATATGAACAGGTGCGCATAGACTTTTCATTGCTATCCATACCCGTAGCCTTGTGTGCCGCACATATTTTATAGATTCTTTTCGAGCGGTTCCAGTTTGGACGTGGTTTCAATCCCCCCCCTCTCCACACATACTTTTCCCCAGTTTCACACCACAAACTGGTTTTGCATATGTTTAATATTTTGACGTTGTGTTCAGCCCGCAAATGGTAATTGCCTTCCCTGATCCGAAAAAGACCCTGAATGTTTTTCTGGCCGCGATTTTGGCCTTGTACAATGTAAATGAGTAAAACACTTGCCAACTGTATTCTTCTTTTTCTCTCTTCCCCCATCATCCACGCGGCAGGAAGTTCGCCGGGGTTTCCCGGATGCCGAATTCACACCCACCCACGCCGTAGTGGCAACATGGGAGAATGTGGCGGCATATGAGGAGCCCGCTCGAACCAGCGGGGGGACCTCCAACAAGGTAAGACGGCTCCGGACGACTTGCCCGCAAATGTACAGCGCCGAGTGAACAATTAGCCTGAATTCTTGGAGGTTTCGTGTATTCAGCCTCAGGGGTCTCCTTCATCTGCTAATCTCCCTCTTAACCTTTTCAAGTGGTCAGAGGTCATTTTACCGGGTCATCAAATTGTCCTCTGCCCCCTTTTCAATTTAGACAAAAACTATCCCAATCCCAAGATCTGTTGGTGACTCCTTCCTTTTTTTTTCTGTTTTCCCCATCATCGGTTACTACCGAAACCAATTGTCGACCTTTTGAATAAAATCTCATGAATCCCTTGACTGTGTATGCAGTGTGCACGATGATCTAAATTGAAATTGCTTGCATCTGCACGGAGTTTTTATGGAGTCAAATTTCACATTGTTGCATGTGAAGCCAACCTGCATTACATGAAACGAATATTTTGGAAGGCCACAAGGCAAAACACTCCATCCACTCCAAGAAACAAGCTCGACTACATGCCAAAATGCACCCCCCCCTCTCCACCCCATCCCCAAAATAGAATCAACAGGACCTTTGAGCATGAATATATCACGACTCGGTGTACATGTATAGTATATCTAAACTCTGGACCATGCAGAGTGCTCGAGATTCAGTCAGTGGTGGGAAGTCATGAAGTACAAATATTTCGCTGCTGTACTTAACATGAAGTTGTTTTTTTAAGGTATCCGGACGTGTGTATTTATCTTGTGATGATTTTCTACAGCTGCCTCCCGTACGGCGGTGCCTTGACCAATACCGTATGTCCAATCCCTCAGCCTTGCATTTAGAGTATTTAGTCAGTGACGGGAAATAAGCAAGTAGAAATACTTTGCCACCACACTTTCTAAAGTAGGTTTTTACCTGTATTTGACTATTTTTTTTTACCGGCGTTTGACAACATGGCCATGTGCATGTAGTTTGTACTCCTCACTTTGTCAAAAGAGACTTGTTTCCTTTTTCAGTCTCATACGCATGCACAAAAAAGTCATCCGGGGGGGACATCTTCATCGATCGATATCTTGGGGTCAGTATTGTAAGTGACAGTACAAATTGTTACTTTTTAGTCTTTTACTTTAAGTACATTTCTACTTACGTATTTGCGTACAGAAGCTGAACTGGGGGTTCTATTTTTCCCATCAGTTTTTTTTTCCGTCCCATGTATTTGTTCTTCTTAAGTATAAGTTGTGAATACGTTTGGCCATGTGTGAATTCGCTTCTGCGAGGAAGCCGAATAAAAGCTTGCTGCGCTCGCTTTATCTTTCAGTCACATAGGATGGAGAGATGGATGGATGATGGAGGGAGTGGTTGGCGGAAAACCACAGGGGATGGTCCCGTGTCTCGCCCTCTCATCTGTGTTTGTCTTTGCTTGCCTTTCACGGGCTGTTTTATCTCACTTGTCAGCCGCTCGTCCTCCCCCCGACCTGACGGAGCAAAAAGTCAAATGTGCAAATCATAAATGCCAAGCGCGTCAGTGGCCGTTGCCTTGAAGTCGATTGACTTTGTAACAATGTGGATGAGAGCCTGTGAATGTATTAAATTGTTGAACGTCTTCAGAGGAAGTTGGGGGCCGGGTGGGTTAAATGGCCTTGCCCATCACAGCGGACTGAGGGTCTCTGGACTGATAGCATCTTGCTTTGAAGAGATTAGCCGGAGGTGCTGGGTGGAGTTCAGTGGGGGGTGGACTGTTGAGGATGTGTGAACTGAGTCCTGTGTGCCACTCAGCATGTGTACTGGGGGAGGAGGTCCATTGGGTGCTGTCAAGATGGAATTGTATGGAAATTTCATTTCACGATTACATTGATTCAAAGTATCACCGATGTCCGTATTATCGCGAACGCAAAAACACGTAAAGCTCCGAATTGCTTTTCTAAAGACCGCTGCTAAATGATTAGTTTCTCAGTTTTTGCGTGCCCTAAAATCTGAGCGACTCAACTCATGAGATATACCGGTAGTAAAATTTTATGCTTCCGTATTATCGCGAACGCAAAAACACGTAAAGCTCTGAATTGCTTTTCTAAAGGCCGCTGCTAAATAATTAGTTTCTCAGTTTTTGCCTTTTAGCGTGCCCTAAAATATGAGCGACTCAACTCATGAGATATACCGGCCGTAAAATGTTATGCCTTGACTTGTGAGTGCCAACTTGAGATACAAGTGCAGTATATGGCGACAGTGTACTCAGGTCAACTCGCTTTACACGGCAAGCATCAGATGGATGGTGATTATTTGGTGTAATTTGGTGATTAGAAAAAAACACCCAAGACAGTTTTCTAATCCGCTTAATCCTCACGAGGGTGGCGGGCGTGCCGGAGCCTATCCTGGCTGTCTTCAGGGCAGTAAGCGGGGGACACCCTCAACTGGTTGCCAGCCAATCGTAGCCCACACAGAAGTGAACAACCATTCGCGCTCACACTCACCCCTAAGGACAATTTGGAGTGTTCAATCAGCCCGAAATGCATGTTTTTGGAATGTGGGAGGAGACCGGAGTACCCGGAGAAAAGCCACGCAGGCATGGGGGAGAACATGCAAACCCCACACAGGAAGGCCGGATCCAGGATCGAACCCTGCGCCTCTGCACTGTGAGGCCGACGTGCTAACCGGTCGAACACCGTGCCCAAACCACAATTAAGGAATATCACACAAGAGGGATTGATGTTGTCATCGGCAATCTTTTTGAAAATGATTTAGTTTCTGGGTTGGTCATTGTCTTGCAAAGTAAAAGCAGATGTTTGTGAATGTCTTCATTTGATCTTACCCAAAAGATAATTAAGTCTGTTTTTGTGAAGGACGATGTGTCCAGCAAAGTATCTGTACTTGAGTAGAAACAAGCAGCACTCATGCTCCCAAGTGACTGTCCGCAGGTCAGCGTCGGGTCATACGAAATCAGTTGAGTCATTGCGTAAACTCGCTTGCTCAAGGGGTGCTTTATGCAATCCTCTTTTAAATGAAAACAGATGATACGTTATTTTGGATCATTTATGTGTTTGATGTTGAAGGCTAAAAAAAACAAAAAAAACAATGAAGGTTTAAAAAAAATCTCATAGTGGAAGTTTTCAAAACTGTTTGTTGATTCATCGAAATCAGGGGCTTCCCAAAATCCGGCCCATGGGCCTCTCGCGGCCTGCTGTCCAGTTTTTAGCGACCTGCTGGCTATACTAGAAATAGCTTTTGAGATATCCCACAACACAACATTCACATCGCCCATGGGTGCCACGACAACTACGACTGCTACAAACATTACGACTAATAAATTGAACCCCCTCCTCCAAAAAGAAAATAATCAGTTTCGGTACACAGCTGGCTTTGTTGGCATAAGATGATTTTGTGTTGTTTTTGCAGGTCAGTGTGACTTTGCTGTCTCTTTACGAAACTTACTCGGTCATTGTGTGCGTGTGTGTGTGCGTGTGTGTGACTGCCTGCACACATCTACACTCATGCTTGTAATGAAAAGGTGAGGAAAGAAAGCCTTTGTTTTTTTTGGTGTTGGGGGTGTGGGGGAGGCTGTCTTAGATGTCTTTGGCCCGTGTGTCAAACGCACACCCACACAAAGGGACACTCAGTGCAAATTGGCTTGGGGGTGGGTGTGGATGTTTGTGGTCAGTAAAATCCAACTCCAAAGTCTTGCCACCAGTATTTTCTGCCTATCTGGTGATCGACCTTCCCTACATGTCTATCTCACTAACTATCGACAGTGTCATCTATCATCCAGGAACCATTCTAGCCCTCCCTTGTTATAAGCGGATTAAAAAAAAAAAAAAAGTCTACACACAACCTATTTATGGCAATGCTTTTGGGCTCTTAAGTCTTCCACAGGAACTGCGTTGCGGCCCTAACCGAGGTGGCGGGAATTTTACGGCGTTTGAAATAGCAATAAACTGGGTTCTCCTTGAAAAAACAAAACAAACCATATCAGGAAAAGCCTTCTAGAACATCTGAAATGTTTATGGGGGTACGTCAAAGGCACTTTAAATAGTGGCAGGTGTGTGCTGACACCCATTAACATGAGTTTGAAAGTGATCGGTCGCTTGGAAACACATCCAACCCTATCCCAGTTAGAATCGAGATTGCAACCACATCATTTCAGTTCAGTTTGATACTTTGTATCACAAAAGCCTGGCATTTGAACAGGGATATGTGGATATGTTGTCTTCAACATGACGACACGAACGTCACTGTCTAAAAGACCAAGCAAAAGCAGATTTCATACAGACACCGCGCAGCCTCCCAGAGCAGACGCGCTAATTAAAACAAGCTCCGGAGGCTACAAGAAAGAACAAAGAAGAATGGTTTAAAGATGTCGCCGTAAACAATTAGGAGGAACGCACATGTGTGCTTTCCTTGGCTATAGGTGAAGAAGACGTGCGAGTCCTGCGTCTTTAACCTCACCATGAAAGATATCCGCACACACAGGAAGACAGCTGTGCTCATCGTTCGCTTGGGAATTGTGTGTGTGCGCGCCTGTGTTTGTGTGTGTGTGTGTGTGTGTGTGTGTGTGTGTGTGTGTGTGTGTGTGTGTGTGTGTGTGTGTGTGTGTGTGTGTGCGCGCACGCGCAGATGACAATCACATGGAGTAACAGTCCTTCAAATATGTGCGCCGTGGGATGGTCTTGACGATAGTCGGTTACTCGTAATTTGACTACAGTGAAAAGACTGAAAAGCGCCTTCATTTCAAATGAAGTGCTTTCAGGGAAATACGATGAACGAGTTTTGCTCGTCGACAGGTGCACAACGGAATTTCTTTTCCGCTTTTGCGATTTGAAAACGTGATGTCCTTGTTGTGTATCGGGACCTCCTTGAATGGGAGCTTTACTGAGCTCCAAGTCCTCTCTGGGCCAAAAACATTTCCTTTCTTATGTTCTCGCTCGGAAGTATTTGGAGCTCGCCGTTTTAGTTGTTGAAGTTCAAACTTCCTCCCTCCTCCAGGTCAACACCTTCCAGGCAGTGATTGGTTACGACGAAAGCGACTCGTACGCTCTCTTCCTCTACCCCGAGGGTGGCCTGAACTTCTTTGGGACGAGGCCCAAGGTAAACTGAGCAGAAACAAGGAGGTGCTTGTTTTCCTTGAACACTCCCGCATGCAGATGCTTAGCATCATAGCTTAGCGTCTCCCACACACACACCAGTGAAAATAGAACCTTGCCTGTCCGGACAACTTTTGCATTGTTGCTTTCCTTTCCCATGCAGGAGTCCTTTAAAGTGGCGATCGAGCTGGCCGCCCGAGTCGGATTCAGCAGAGGAGAAGTCAGCTATCTCTATTTTTCCCGAACCGAGGGACCTCACTACAGCGTGACCAGCGATGAACAGAGTATCAAACGTCTCACCCAGTTAGTACAAAGCCGTGACGCTTGACAGCTTTTGTTGCCGGTCATACACGTGTCTCTCGTATACCGAGAACACAACAGAACGACAAACGGGAAGGCGGCGAGGGCCTTCGGTTTGAATTTGTCAAACCCACTGAAGCCAATCAATCAAACTCATTCTGTGTCAGCCATTTTTAGACCCTTAACGCTGCCAGGTGTGAAAAAAAAGGTAAAAAAAAAAATGTATATGGGATTGATTACCTGAATCTTAAAAAAAAAAAACCGAAAAAATATCCTTGGCATTGAATGCCTGTTTGGATATCATATGAAGCAAATTCATTTTTATTTGTCATAGTTCTTGTAGCGGTGGTCAAAGGCATCGACACACCCACCTTTCAGGCGGCCCCCTTTTTCTTTCAAGAGTATTACGGGCCCGGGTCCATTAAATTTGACTTGGATGACTTTGCCGTGGAAGAGTCTGACCTGAGCCTTGACCTCAAATCCATCAAACTGAACTCGAACAGAGATAGTGAGGCACAAACCAAAGTGGCCGTCACTTTTCTCTGTTCTCTTTCCAGATGTTCATATTATGCCTCGTTAGACTGCTAAATCAGCAAGGCGGTTGTTTTTATTTTACCGTGAAACGATGATGTCTCGGTACTCGTAAAGACGTACGGTAATCGTCCGCATTTGCTGGCAACCCACACAAATGGCTTTGACCATTGTCTCTCGAGAACTCGATGTGCTCTCGTGCGTCGAGCTGGACCCATGTGCTGCTGTGATGTTAAACTGTTGTTGACCCTTTGTACCCATCCTAACAAAGAAGACATGTCTACTTTATTGTGGAATTGGGGCTTAAGCGACAAGTGTTACTTCAAGGAAAATATTCATGGCATTGCTCAAGTGGCTTTATTTCTTTTCCCCCCAATTCAAGGGTTGGGAACACTGGAATTCCAGGCCTTTGGCTTTTCCACACCGGGAACCGCTATTTTTTTGACAACATTGTCCCTGCATCGACTGGTGGCATCCTTGCTACCCCTCTCCCAAGAGAACATGACCACACGCTGGTAATTTCCCTCTTTTGAGTTTGATTTTTCATTTTTAATAGTCTCTTAAAGTTAAAATAAATCTGCCTTCTAAATTTCACACACAGCACATAATAGAGCGACCCTGTCAAATTTGAATGACTGAAAAGAATCGGCAAAAGTACCCGTACATAAAACAAGGCTTCTAAAATCACGAGAAATTAAACCGATGTGTCCGCTCTGAACTCTTTCAGCTGTCAATCAAACACCACGCATTTTCTTATGCATCTGTCTGTTTTATTTCTTTTAAACCACTCTTTATCCGGGTAAGGCGATTGAGAACAGATGTTCATTTGCGTTTAAAGATTTGAAAACAAATAATAATATCTTCAAAAGAACTCTAAAATGTATAGGGAGCCAGTGAAGGGAGGCCAGAGTAGGAGTTCTCTGCTCCCTCTTATAAGCACCAGTCAAGAGGCGAGCAGAAGCATTCTGGACCAACTGGAGATGCATCATGGAGGATTGGCTGACTTCAAAGTTAAGTGCATCACAGTAATCCTGCCGGGATGTGACGAAGGTATGAATGGCTGTATGACATGAGCAAGCTGCCTAAGATGAAAGAAGCTGGATTTAACAACGGCACCCATTTGCTGGTCCAATTTAAAATCACTGTCCAGTTTAAGACCCAAGTTCGAGACTGTGGGCCTCAGATAAGGGGCCAGGGGGCCCAAGTCCGCAGGATGGGATGTACAAGGGCCAATGGGACCAAACACCATCACTTCTGTCTTCTTTCAAATGTGACAAATACAGTTCTCCTTCATTCTTGATAAATCTCTTTGAAGCAAATTCGCCATGTAAAGTACTGAAAAGTTAGTTCATATTGTAAAAATGATTCTGCGTTCAGCCCGAAACGCATTGGATCAAACCTTCTCGAACTAAACCGAACCATATAAAATGAAATCAAATCAAATTAAATCGCAAACCCACTAGAATCGAACCAAAATCGAATCGAACCGTCCTCGGATCATATCGCACCACGTGAAATCGAGATGCATATCAACACAATTGTCTGAATTCACTTCACGGGGTCTTTAAATCAAACGTCATGCTGGATTTCACGCATGATGCTTCTGCTCGCCGTGATTTCTCGGTGGTTGTTCCTCCCAGGGCGCCACTACCCCCGAGTACAACGACTTTGAAGAATACGAAGACAACAGCAACTTTGAGCCCGCTCATCAAGAGGAGGACGGTGATTTCCCCCTGACAGGTGAAGACCTGGAATTCCGCCCAGCGGTCGCCGATGAAACTCTCCAGTCGCGAAGCTCTGACCTCCCTTTGTCAGCGTCTGAGGTGTCGCATGGCGGTGAAGATTTACCTTTGACCTCTGAACCCAGGCACGGTTCAGAGGTAGCAGAGCGGCAGTACGCGCCACCGCCGCCTCCGCCTCCTCAAGAGGCCACCCCAGATGGAGGCGCTCAGTGGTCCCAAGAGCAGCGACCACAGGTAAACCTGGAATAATTCATTTTGTTGCCACTTCTGCTCAAATACCTTAAATATCTTGAACAGAATAGTTTGGTAAATGGGGAATGAAGATAAAACGTATGTGCAATCAATTTCATGCATATTAACATTCAGCAAGAACTGTACACTCTTTTCAACCACATTCATACCTTATGGGACGGGTGGAAAATAGCTCGTTAAGCCCAATTTGAAATTTTTCACTTTTTAGTTGAGACATTAATCTCTGTGTGTTCAGTTGTTGTAAGGAGTCAGTAAATTTCCACTATTATACAAAGTATACGCGATACACAAAAAACTGAACATTGTGGAAAAGGGTCATGAAACTTTATCGAAACAGTTAGCAGCAAAAGTTAGCTAGTGATAATCTATCCAGGTGAACGTGAACCTGGATATGAGTACTGTCATTTCTTCGGCCTGTGTTCTTTTCATTTTTTGTGTGACGTCTTATCTCTTTTAATGCGACGGAGCAAACGCGTCACTTTGCAGGGTGTTGTAAAAACTTGGAATTTCCACCCTCTTCAGCATATCAGCCATCATGGAATCATAATACATGACATTGGCACTCAGTCACATTACTTTTCATCGAAAGTTTAAAACGTTGTTTTTACTCTTATAGATTCCCGTGGAGGTGGGACGTTTGTATCCCCCTCGCAGAAATGAACCACCCCTGTCCTCTGGAGGTCACGTGGTCAGTGTGGAGGAAGATGTTGACTTTGACACAGGAGGTAAGACACCTTCACAGAAATGTATATTTATGGCATACTTAGTCCTAAATGGCTGACAGGAAGTGGAGGGAAACCATACCTCACCCTCAGCAGCTGCACTACAATATGGCTGTTGTGCAACTACCAGGTGCTCTTTGTGTGTGTGTGTGTGTGTGTGGGGGGGGTTGTTTTAATGTCCCTTGCCATAAATTAGAATCAGTTCACAGTAAAATTGGACCCCCGACAAAATGTCATTTTTCTCGGTTTGAAATGAAAGAAGGTTATTTCCAATGTATTTTGGATTTTAACAAGGTCTTGTTTGTTGTCTGTCCTACTTTGTTCTTGATTTGGCAATAACAATTTTCCTGAATAAGTCCTACAAAGGGCGGCCCGGTGGTCGACTGGTTGGCACGGCGGCCTCACAGTGCAGAGGCGCAGGGTTCGATTCGGGCTTCGGCCTTCCTGTGTGGAGTTTGCATGATCTCCCCATGCCTGCGTGGGTTTTGTCCGGGTACACCGGTTTCCTCCCAAATTCCATAAACATGCGAGGCAGTTCGATGGAACACTGCAGATTCTGCCTGAGGTGTGATTGTGAGCGCGAATGTTTGTTTGTGTCGGTGTAAGTGCGCCCTGCGATTGTCTGGCAACCAAAGACAGCTGGGATAGGCTCCAGCATGCCTGCGACCCTTATGAGGATAAAGCGGATTAGGAAAAGTCTTAAGATACCTGACCGGTGATGTACTCTCAAATAATTTTCATCCATCCATCCATTTCCAGCACCCCCTGCTGGAGCCTATCCCAGCGACACTCTGAACCTTTTGCCAGCCAATCGAAGTAAAAAGTAATTTTCTAAAATTAAAATGTATTTAAGTATTGGAAGTTTTGTTTTCACGTTAGATTACAATTTTACTTTTAATTTTACATTTTAAACAAGTTTACTTGAGCGGCATTCAGTTGGTAAACAGCTTCATGTTGGCTAATGAGCGGGGTAAGCTAGCACACCTTAGTTAGCCTGGTCACCACGTAACCATCTGTTGAACCAAGCTCGCAACAAAACTGGTCTTTGTTCTTTCCTTTCTATTTGGGGGAGGGAGGTGGCGCTTAGAGATTGGCAGAGAGCGACGAGATTCCTTGTCTTTTCAAACAAGTATTGAAGCATTTTACGTGCCTATGAGATGATGATGCAGCATTGCAACAGCTGTTCTGTCTCCAAGTGTTTCGTACTGTATGTACAGTATTCATGCACGCATGCCTAAATGTGTGTGTGTGCATGTGTGAGTGGTTCAGGAATGTTTTCCCAACCTCCTTTCTGTCGACAGTTTACTGTACATTTACCATAATGTCAAACACTTGTCGCACTTGTCATCGCTTCAAAATCTTCAGAGGGTTTTTTTTCTCCTGTTTTGCAGTGATTCACTACACCACTGAGAATAAGGAAACATGTGCAAGGTACGCTTTCAGTTCTAAAGCATATATTATTATGCCGTATTCTCTGCCTGTTAATATTAAGAGTCATGGATTTGTGTTTGTCACAGGTTCAAGCAGCAGTGCTCTCAGAATGCCTTTTGCTCTGATTACGCGACGGGTTTCTGCTGTCACTGTCAACCCGGCTTTTACGGAAATGGCCGCCACTGCTTGCCGGAAGGTTTGTTGTCAGCTCCCGCTGTGCTCTTGTTATATTTTTGAATTCAGTGAAACACAGTGAGCATGATGAGCCATTTTTATTTATTTTTTTGTCGTCTTCAGCGGCCCCCCAGCGCGTCAGTGGCAAGCTGAGTGGGACAGTAACCGTGGGTTTAACTCCTGTGGAGCTGAACAACATCGACCTGCATGCTTACATCGTGGTGGGAGATGGGAGGGCTTACACAGCCGTCAGTGAGGTAGCAGCGCTTCCCAAATGTGTTTTATACCGCTCGAAATCCAACGAAAGATCATACGTACTATCTCATGCGTTATTCACGTTTCATCTTCCGGGTTCTCTGCTGGCCTTGACCTGATTGTTTAGATCCCTGAGCCAGTGGGTTGGGCCTTGATGCCGGCTGCGCCGATCGGAGAGCTGTTTGGATGGCTGTTTGCTCTGGAGCTGCCCAATAGCCAAGCAGGATTCAAAACAACAGGTACCCTATCGAACTTTTCACCACGACGTCACACTGAGCTTTCTCCGATGGCACCGCCGACAAACCCATGATATCGTTTTGACCAAGGCGGAGAGCTGTTGAGAACATCAGAAGAGCCTGATTTATTTTTCACTTTAACTGAGCGGCAGTCTCTCGTTCTGCCATCCAGAAGTACCGTTGAGCCTATTTCTTTACAGGCAATAGAGAAAAGTTTGAGACTTTAAAGATGATGAACGAAGAAGAACTGATCAGTATTGAAAATATTTGTCGTTGTCAGGGGCTGAGTTCACTCGACACGCCGAACTTGTCTTTTATCCTGGCAACCAGCGGCTGCTCATCAGTCAGACAGGGCGAGGCCTCGATGAGAACAACCATTTCACTGTGGACACCGTGCTCAGCGGCAGTATACCTTTTCTACCTCCTGCTGCTGAAGTAACGATGGATCCTTTTAAGGAGACGTACCATTACTACCCTTCAGGTAACACGACGACCACTCAAGTCGCCCGACACTAAGGTGTGCCATTTGCTTATACAGGCCCCCATCGTGTTTGTTTCCAGTTGCCACCTCCAACTCCGTGAGGGAGTTCACCGTGGTCTCGCCGGATGGAGGATCCGAATCCTTCTCGTTCCAGCTAAAACAGAACATCACCTACCGTGACTGTCGACACGACAGCCGGGTTCCGCCTCTCGAGACCCAGCAGATCACCATGGAGAGAGTGTTTGTGATGTACGTGAAGGAGGAGCGCATCCTGAGATACGCCATCACCAACAAGATCAGCCCAGTCGGAGGTTAGTGGACACAAGACTGACAAATTAAAAGATTTCTTTTTTTCTTTAACGAATTTTGAGTTGGCTGCTTTTCGTTTGAATTACTGTTGGTTGGTTGGTTGGTTGATTAGCGTAAATAGCTTCGGCTAGTGGTTTGAGCTAGTGATTAGAGTCAGAGGTCATGCATTTGAGCAGTCAATTGTTTTTTTTTGTGGATTTATTTGTGAGAGAGGATTTTAGAAGCATGCCAAGTGCTCGTTCCATGTTTTTTTTTTTAATTCCACAAAGATGGCCGCTACTTGTCACATTGCTAGTTAGATTTCGTGTCTCGTGTTATGATTAGAGTTAGTGGTTAAGATAAGGGTTGGGTTAGGATTAGTTCCTGGTTTTGTCTGTCATTGTGGCAACACAAATATGACTCGTCTCCATTTGTATTGCCTGTTCAACTGGCAATTCTGGCACCCCAGCAAGAGCCACGTCCCTTCGATCCTTACTCATCTGCAGCTGAAAACCCCCGCCAACAGTCATACTAATGGACTCAAATGTTGCAACAATATCTCACGTTCTTTTTCTCTACAACACAATGTTCTTTCAGTCAGTCCGACCTAATCTTTAAAAAAAGACTTCCAAAAGATGAAGAGAGCACCAAGTCGCTGTCATTTTGATGTTACATTGATTGTAAAGGTGAAGAAGAATCACACACATGCACACGTACGTATGCACACCCGCACACAAACACGCTTATACACCCAGAGCACAGCTGGAAGAGCTTTTGGGGATCAGGGGTTTTGTAAACATGGGCTAAGTGCTTTGTGTGTGTGTGCGTGTGTGCGCGTGTGTGTATAGGCGCTCACATGTGCATGGAAGGGTCTCACACGCTCTGGGAAATAATACCCTATCCAGTGACAGATTTTAAGGACGGGGGGCGGGTTGCTGGGCAGAATAGCTTCCCTGTGATGTCATGAGAATCACTGGCTTGACATGAATGCCACTCAACAGAGCACAGGCCTCCTCCAAGGCCAAACAATTGTCCTCTGGATCACTACCAAATTCTACACGCTCATACTTGAGATTATGAATGGGAAAGTTCTTCATGTCGACACAGTCTAATGGCCATCTTGTTGACGCTGTTCTAACTCTCCCCCATGACCCCATGCTGTGATTGAGTGTGGATTGGAAGAAGGAAGCTCACTTTGGAGGTGCACCACTCTCCTGTCCGCACTCTCTTGATGACTTTAAAGTCGCTGTCGAGTGAAAATAAATGTCCTGTAAATGACGCCAATTTGACTGGTTAAAAGCAATCCCGAGTGGATCAAATGAGGCTTCACGATCATGAAAAAATGAAGCCATTGTGTCAGCTCTCCAGCGCCTGTGGGCGTGTCCGCTGAATGTGTGAAACCACGCCCTGCTGAAAAATGGATGCTACTTTGTCTAGCTTCTTTCTTATCCACACACGTCACGACAGGATTCAGCTGTGAAAATACATCATCTTCAAGTCTCCAGTGGCTAGAATATAACCCAGCGGGTCATCGTGAGGCCTTAGCGTTTGCCAGCTGCAAGCTCACAAAGCAAAAGCCGAGTACTAGTAACTAAATAACTTGTAATTGCGCCAGATAACCACTGATACAAAAAAAAAAAGTTGCTCAAGTTCTGATATAATGTGGGAGGGGAAGACTTGTGTTGTAACTTCCAAATGCGACCCTCGGCACCCTTTTAGCCACGCCTAAAAAAAAAAAATATCAGGAACACTGAAAAACAGTTTACTATGTCACCAAAGTTCAGTATTATGCGCCTTTTTTTCAGCAATCATTTTCAGACTTGTACAGTATCCCGTATTTAGAAACAAAAATTGCCTCGACAGGGTCTTTTACGATCCGCCCTCCTTTTTGTGTCGGTCGATATTCTCGTCACCGTCTCATGACTACGTTTGAGACGTGCCTTGATTAGAAGCAAGCATGAAGCTCTGGCCTCAGGACATGGAAGCAATCTGGACTAAACGTCATTGTCTGTGTGCAAGGGATTTTCTCTCTGTACGCCATCCACTTCTGACTCACTCTACCGCAACTTGGGTCTACTCTACTATTTTTTTTTTTTAAGTTGCTTATGATGGTGGCACTTAAAGGGCCACATTTTATTTGCTGGTACTTCAGTAAAAGGTTGCGAAGCACTGCTGTAGTTGATCAGAAGAATTTTATTTTCTTCTTCTTGAGCTTGTTTGGGGAAACTTAAGCTCTTGTTTTTTTCTTATTGGTTCTGAAAAATTGAGCTTTTCGTGGAAGAAGAAAAAAAAAAACACTGGCAGTGCGACCTCACCACTAAGTCAGCATCCAATCAGATTTTGCTTTGATTTGATCAACGTACTAGCAGCACATGACATCCATTTACACGAGTAAATCGGACTAAGATGGGATCCAGAAAGTCCAAAAATGCTTTGCTTCAGCATTTCAGCTCAGTGACCAGCTCTCTCCGCTTTCACCTGGGTAAACAAAATAGAGTGAAGCTATCCTTGTGACTTGTAATGTTCAACTAGTGTGCCAATCGGTAGTTCAGACGTACAAAACATTTCATGTTGTAACACCTGGTCAATGTGCGGTCATGGTGGAGGAAACCTTTCACACACATCTACTCACTCATCATACTGTGTGTGTGTGCGTGTGTGTGTGTGTGTGTGTGTGTGTGCGTGTGCGTGTGCGTGTGCGTGCGTGTGTGTCATCTTGGTGTGTCTAATTTCAACCATGTGCTGATGATTGAGAATACGAAGGAAGTTACTTCCTAAAAGAAAGCCATCTTGTGGGAATTGGTCTGACGTGTTTACTTAGCCTTGTTGCTGTAATCATTCAAAGTACTTAACACTAAATAGTCCAAAGGTCAACTCATTGTGAATTTAGAACTTTTAGAGGATCCTCTCCTCTGCCAAATACGAGTTTTGTTCATCGACGGCTCTTTTGCTCTTGTTGTGTGCGAAGTTTGACCAACTTTTTTTTTTTAATGCTCGGTAACAAACAAACAACAAAAAGAGATATGATTGCCTAAAGATGTCACAAGATGAACTTTTGTTCGGATGAAGCCCCTAACAAATAGCATCAGCCTTGGGATATTATAACCCTTGAAGCAACGGATATTTGAACGCAAATGGGTGGACAACACATGCCAACAGATAATGAAACAATACTCACAAGCGTATATCTCAGTTACTGCTGCTTACTGCGGAGCTGAGACCATCTCCAGATCTTGTAAATCCTTTTGACTTTATTATAATACCACAAGGTCAATTGCATTGAATCAAATACTGAAGCAAAAATGTTTTTATTTACATTGTATTTAAATATATCTTACCTGGATGTTTTTTTTTTAAAAAGTATAATATTATAGAGTGGTATTTTTCTTAGCAATAAGCATATTACAAATATGTTTTTTTTTTGGGAGGGACTGGAATGGATGAATGGCATCTTTATTCATTTCAATGGGGATTCAGGATTTGAGTCCCAAATGTGGTCAGTAAACGAATTGATCTTGTATCTCAAGGAACCACTGTATAAAGAGGTTCAATGTAACGTCAAACTACATTTTCTCCAGTGATACATTTGGTGTCAATTTGAATGTCACAAATATATTTTGTTGATGTAAAACCAATTTGTTTCCCTTGTTTTGCTTCAATGGGGTTGACAGGACCAGAGTTGGTTAACCCCTGCTATGATGGAAGCCATGACTGCGACACGACTGCCCAGTGCATCCCTCTGGAGGACAAGGCTTTCCAGTGCCGATGTGGAACTGGTTACAGCGGGGATGGACACAACTGTCAAGGTACTTCACCTAGTCCCCTGTGGCACTCCCAATCTATTTTTCTGCATGGAAAATGGTGTCTGGCTCACACCAACAGAGGTGGCACAAGTATTCACACTGTGTACCTCAGCAGAAATATTTTAGTTAAAAAAAATACAGACTCTGAAATGTACTGAAGTACAAATATTATTTACTGTCAGTTATAATCAATACATGTTTTGAACTTGGGACAATGAACAAAAAGCATCTTTGCACGCGGAATAGTTTATCTCTTTTATTAAATCACGTACTTAGTACTCACGCTCGCTTGTATGAGACACACTACCAAAGAGCAGGAACCAGGACTCCTCCTGGTATAGCACCAACAGATTGTGACAGACATGGTGAGGGCCATCTCTTTTTAAATGTAGGAAGAACAAGTGAAAAGTCACCAGAAAAATAAATCGTCAAGTAAAAAATGCCTACCTGAAAAATCTACTGAAGTACACTCAAAGTGTTTGCCCTTCCTGACTTCCCATCACAGCGAACTAAACATGCACAAAGACTTTGACAGTTCAAGGCGTTGGAGCAGCGTTTTCAACATCTGTCCATCCAATGTGTATGGAAGGAATCATCACTCCCTCTTCTCCTCCTCCTTGTCTGCCCCCTGGCCCCCCTTGTATTTAATGATGTAATTAACAGGGACTTCCATTGCTTTAAGCTTGTCCGTGGCCTGTCATTAGCCTAGTATTATCTCCGTGTCTCCTGCTGACAGCACTAGGAAAGCCCCAGGCTCTGCCTCGGTTCCCATGGATGGGCCCCAGTGTCTCTCCATGACCACATAATCACGTCTTGTACTGTACTAAGAATGCAGCCTTGGCTCCAGGTGTTTTTCTCAGTTTACATGTTCTCTCTCTCTCTCTCTCTCTCTCTCTCTCTTTGGTTAGATATCGATGAGTGTGCAGAGGGCTTGTCTACGTGTGGGGCTCATTCTCAGTGCATCAACTTACCTGGTAGCCATCGCTGCCGCTGTCAGGCTGGCTATGAATTTGGCTTTGACGGACGTACATGTGTGGGTGAGTGTTCTTATCCACAACATGTTAGATGGGTTGAAGACCAGCAGACATGACAAGGATCGATCTAGCTAGCTATCTGTCTGTCTGTCTGTCTGCCTGCCTGTCTGTCTGGAGAGAGAGAGTTGTTGTTTTACAATAATACTTTACCATATTATTATTTCTATGTATCGTTGGCTAGAAGGCAAAGCGTGAAGAGTTTGTCACCAAAATCCAGAGGTGCGGTCCCTGAAAGGGCAGGCAGGATGACCAATGAGAGAAAGTGTGTGTGTGTGTGTGTGTGTGTGTGTGTGTGTGTGTGTGTGTGTGTGTGTGTGTGTGCGCGCGCGCGCGTGCGTGCGTGCGTGCGTGAGAACTTTTGATGAATTTCCTCCGCAAATTCTACAAAGACAATATAGCTCTTGATTAAATCTACAGCATGTTCAGCCATATGACCTATATTACAATGCATTAGCACACGTTACAGTGTTCATCTATCTATGACTGTATGTCTTCAGACATGGATGAATGCAGATCCTCTCCATGCCACGGCGATGCGAGATGCACCAACAGCCTAGGCTCCTTCCAGTGTCAGTGTCAGAATGGTTTTTATGGAGATGGGTTCCTTTGTTCCCAACAAGGTCAGTGATCTTGCCTTGAGAAGTTTTTTTTTTTTTTCCAGGCATTTACAGTGTCTCCATGTCGACAAATACAACCCCAGGCCAGCCGCTGGTGAATGAGCAATGACCAACTGTCGAAATTTACTGATGCGCCCTCTTCTACAAAATACCGTCAAAGATGCTGGCATTTGAACTTTGTGCTGATTACAGTCCGGATGGTCCGGACTATGATCAGTAATCATCTTTGGTCTGGTAGACATCGCGTTTCTAAAAACAATTTGAAACGTGGACTCACCGGAGATAATGAAATCCCCAAATTCATGCCAATTGTATGTTGAGAAATGTTCCTGTTAAACTGTTGGCACAGCCCACCAACTACGTATATTTTGCTAGAAAACCGATAAACTAAATATATTTGTCCTCAGAAGTCAAGTAAAAGTAATATTGATGAAAGACGTGGAGCCTCCGGTGAAAACGTATTTTTCCAAGGTGGTTTCCATAGCACTTCTGCCAAAGATCAGATTGCAACAGTAACTGACATCTCTAGGCATTGAGTGTGCAGTGGAAGCATACGTATCGACTGAGGTCATGAAATCCAAGAAAATTGCAGCCAGATACGTTTTCAAAGGTGCCACAAACTGGAGACGTTTGTGGAAAATAAGGACATTTTGACACCTTTATTGTTCGTGAAAGGTTTCCCCTTCGGATATTCTCAAATGAATGTGGTGGCAAAGTGCAATTGTGCACATCAAGTTGGACACGGACTAAATCATGAAGTCAACCCTTTTCTGGTTTGAATTTAAAACAACAAAACTGTGATTCCATGGTTGAACACCTGCATACAATCCTTGCAGTCAATATTGGATGAAGTGGTGTCAAACTAACAGCTGGAGGATTGATACAACTTTGGGATGAACTTGAAGAGCCAGGCCTTCTCTCACAATTGCTCTGTTTTGGCCACATTCCCCCAAACACACTCCGACATCATGGAGAAAGTCTTCTGAGAACATTGAAGCACCCACAACTGCGTGGAAATACAAGATAGTGTCCTATGAGCAATCATTTTGTTCATACAGTGTACAGCCATTGCAAAAAAAGTGCCTGATTACCATCCCCACTTGTCTATAGGACAGACAGACCGTACGAAAAGCCAGTGTGAGGAGCACAGAGACAGACTACAAGGTGGGCTGGAGCAAGCCGGTCAGCTGCCCGTTGGGATTTTTGTCCCACAATGTGACTCTGATGGACGATACAGGCCACTGCAGGTGGGTGACGAGAGCCAGAAAGTGGATCGATGACCACTGACTCAATAAAAAATGGAGCTCAAGAGGTTACTGACTCATTCACAGTGCCATGGCTCCACTGGTCATTGTTGGTGTGTGGATAGTCGGGGGCAAGAGAGAGCAGGAACCAGGACTCCTCCTGGTACGGCACCAACAGATTGTGACAGACATGGTGAGGACCACGTGCAATAAAACTCAGTGACAGGACAGCATTTCAACACCTTGAGCGTTGTCTTGCTGTAAAAGAGATCGGTTTGTGTTCACATGCTTTGTTTGCCTCGAAACCCTCCAGAGCAACCACAACAACCTAAAACGCAATGTGAGCATCACAGAGACAGCATACAGACCACCAGTCCAGAGGGTTATCCTATCGTGGGAGCCTTTGTACCTCAGTGTGACGCGAACGGACGGTACACCCCTCAACAGGTCAGCAGTCTTTACACTGGAGACATCATGTGTTTACCATGTGATATCTTGATCAATCTTGTTATTTCAGTGTCACGGCTCTACTGGACATTGTTGGTGTGTGGACAGCCAAGGACAGGAAAGACACGGCACCAGAACTCCACCTGGTACAACTCCCATCGACTGTGAGAGACCCGGTACGAAACACTTTCAGCAGAAAGACCTTTCATTTGTTTTCACCGTTGTGGATGTGAAGGAAGTTTTGTTGTCGTGACACTGCTTGTGCTTCCTACTCTTCAAATGTCTTCAGATGACCGTCCGAAAACCCACTGCGAGCAGCACAGAGACAGCGTCCAAACTACCAGTCCACTCGTGGGGGCATTTGTACCTCAGTGTGATGCTAATGGACAATACACGCCATTGCAGGTCAGAAGAGAATGACCCGCTAACCACAGATGTGTTTTTTGAAGCCTTTAATTCCATCTAGCACTTAGGTATTTGATCTCCATGAATTTTAATAACACCCATGTGTCACAGTGTCACGGCTCTACTGGGCATTGTTGGTGTGTGGACAGCCAGGGACAAGAAAGACCCAGAACCAGAACAAGTCCCGGTGCACCACCCACAGACTGTGATAAACCAGGTGAATGAAGAAAAAGTGCACGGGGAATGATGGACTTGTTCATTAAATTTACCCCTCTACGTCGTTAAACTGTTACGCTCTTGGCAGTGTAACAATCACTGCAGCAGATGTCTTGTTTCATTGCTACGAGGCTGCCAGGATTTCCTTGCTAAACACTGACTTTAGAACGCCGTCATTCCTCAACACGCGTCAACCTGTGCTTCAAAATGCCTCGAAAAAACAGGCGATAGAGTATAACTGCAATTAATAAATGCATGTGATTGGAAAAGGCTCAGCATCTAGTTTCTATCCAGCTCTAAAGTTGAGTACGCAGTAACATGAACAGCTATTTCTTGACCTTTACAGGGATTTAAACAGTTCTTTCAAACATGATCAGGAAACTCCATTTGTTTTACACGACACCATCTAAATCTGTCTTTCGCATCCAGATGAACCGGATCGTACAAAAACCCACTGTGAGCGTCACAGAGACAGCGTGCAGACCACCAGTCCCGAGGGTTTTCCTCTAGTGGGGGCCTTTGTGCCTCAGTGTGATGCAAATGGACAATATACTCCACAACAGGTAAATATGTGCTGACTCGATGCACCTCTTTGATATACAGTGGTACCTCTACTTATGAAATTCATTGGTTCTGGAAGAAATTCCTTAAGTAGAAAATTTTGTAAGTAGAGACACATTTTCCATGTAAATGCCCTAATCCGTTCCAAGCTCCCCATAATTCAGACATAAATGTTTTCTAAAGCATAACAATGCATCAAAATATGTAACAGATACATGTTACAATTAGATTATTGCACAATAAATGAGAGTTGTGCATAATGACATCGTTAGATGTCCCGCTTAACCAATGGGATGCTAGGAAGATGCTCGGTAATAGCCAATGGCAGAGCAGCTATAAGTATGTTGCGTTCAGGAAACTCGGAGCTGCGAGTAGCAGCCCATACTGTATTTTTACCTTTTGAACTTGAAATTTCTTTCGTAAGTAGAGGCAATATTTTCCTGATGAGAAAATTCCTAACTAGCGAGAAAATTCCTAACTTGAAAATTTCGTATGTGGAGACGTTCGTCACTAGAGATACCACTATATATTGGTTCGACTAAAACCAAATGTATATTTTAGTGTCACGGCTCAACTGGGCATTGTTGGTGTGTGGACAATCGAGGACAAGAAAGACCTGGTACAAGAACTTCTGCTGGGTCAACACCCGTTGACTGTGACAAACCAGGTGCCAAAGCTCAATATTTTTCAGTGTTGCTAGAATGACTTCATACGGACTAAAATTGCGATGATCGAGATATCTAACTTTGCGTTATCATTTACAGAGCAACCTAAAACCCAATGTGAGCAGCACAGAGACAGCATCCAGACTATCAGTCCAGAGGGTTATCCCGTAGTGGGATCCTTTGTACCACAATGTGATTCCAGTGGACATTACACACCACTACAGGTAAATTATTTCGTAGAGGAGACATTGCTTTTAGTATATGATGTGCTTTATTAAATGTTATTGTTCATTTCAGTGCCACGGCTCGACTGGACATTGTTGGTGTGTGGACAGCCAAGGACAGGAAAGAGTGGGAACCAGAACTCTACCTGGTACAACACCCACAAACTGTGACAAGCCAGGTGCAAATGCCAAATCCTTCCCAATGTTCTGTATACAGTACTATAATAGAGTACTGATGTATTTTTTATTGTTTAATCGTATGTCTCAAACCTATTTTGTTAATTAAATCAATGAAACAGAAGACCCGGAACGTCTTAAAACTCATTGTGAGCAGCACAGAGACAGCGTACAGACCACCAGTCCAGAAGGCTATCCCATTTTGGGAGCTTTTGTACCTCAGTGTGATGCGAATGGACAGTACACTCCGCAGCAGGTAAATTCTAGATGGTTTGAGCTATTATATCTTTTGCATATTATCAATGTGACTCAAACGTACTGTATAAACATGCGTATTGTTTGTTTTAGTGTCATGGTTCTAGTGGACATTGTTGGTGTGTGGACAACAGAGGACAAGAAAGACCCGGTACTAGAACACCTCCTGGTGCAACACCCGTTGACTGTGCCAAACCAGGTGCTGAAACTCACTATCCTGGTTTTTACACGCTATGATGACTCTCTTATTTAAGTATAACTTTGCAATATAATCTCTAGAGCGTCCGAAAAGCCACTGTGAGTTGCACAGAGACGGTACACAAACCGAGGGTCCAGAGGGTTATCCACCGGTGGGAGCTTTTGTACCTCAGTGTGATGCGAACGGACATTACACTCCTCAGCAGGTACAATCCTAGACGGTTTAAGGTCTTGTGTCAATTCTATGTCATCATTCTGACTAAAACGAATTTGGTGTTCTAGTGTCACGGTTCTAGTGGACATTGTTGGTGCGTGGATAGCCAAGGACAAGAAAGGTCTGGAACGAGAACGCCTCCTGGTGCAACACCCTTTGACTGTGAAAAAGCAGGTGCTAAAGTTTAACTCATTTTGACGGGTTGGTCTTAAAAGGGGAAAAGAAAGTAAGAAAACGTGCCAAACTAGAGAGGTAAAACTGCAATGCAAGTTCTGGTCACAAACAAAAGTCCGCGATGGAGTGGATCTGCAATAATCGAGCCGTGAAGTAGCGATGGAACACTGTATTTTCAAATCAAGTATAACGTTACAATATAATCTCTAGAGCGTCCAAGAAGCCACTGTGAGTTGCACAGAGACAGGATACACACAACCAGTCCAGAGGGTTATCCACTGGCAGGAGCCTTTGTACCCCAGTGTGACGCGAATGGACAGTACATTCATCAGCAAGTAAATTCTCCACAGTTTGATGCATTATGTCTTTTGTATATTATTCTATATGACTAAAACGGATTGGGTGTTCTAGTGTCACGGCTCTAGTGGCCATTGTTGGTGTGTGGACAGCCAAGGACAAGAAAGACCTGGTACTAGAACTCCTCCTGGCGCAACACCCTTTGACTGCGACAAACCAGGTACCAAAGCTCACCTTTCCTTGTCTTTACATTCTGGCGACGCTCTGATAATTTTGATTCAAGTATAACTTGACAATATCATCTCTAGAGCGTCCAAGAAGCCACTGTGAGTTGCACAGAGACAGTATTCAGACAACCAGTCCAGAGGGTCATCCACTAGCGGGAGCCTATGTGCCCCAGTGTGATGCTAACGGACAGTACATTCCCCAACAGGTATTTTCCCTTCAGTTTGATGCATTACGTCTTTTCTGTATCATTCTTTGCGACAAAATCATATTGTGTATTTTAGTGTCATGGATCAACTGGGCATTGTTGGTGTGTGGACAGCCAAGGACAAGAACGACCCGGTACTAGAACTCCTGCTGGTGCAACACCCTTTGATTGTGATAAACCAGGTGCCAAAGTTTAACACTCCCTTGTCTTTAAACTTTGATGACTCGCTTCTGTATTTTTTTTATTATCTAACTTTGCGTTATCATTTACAGAGCAACCTAAAACCCAATGTGAGCAGCACAGAGACAGCATCCAGACTATCAGTCCAGAGGGTTATCCCGTAGTGGGATCCTTTGTACCACAATGTGATTCCAGTGGACATTACACACCACTACAGGTAAATTATTTCGTAGAGGAGACATTGCTTTTAGTATATGATGTGCTTTATTAAATGTTATTGTTCATTTCAGTGCCACGGCTCGACTGGACATTGTTGGTGTGTGGACAGCCAAGGACAGGAAAGAGTGGGAACCAGAACTCTACCTGGTACAACACCCACAAACTGTGACAAGCCAGGTGCAAATGCCAAATCCTTCCCAATGTTCTGTATACAGTACTATAATAGAGTACTGATGTATTTTTTATTGTTTAATCGTATGTCTCAAACCTATTTTGTTAATTAAATCAATGAAACAGAAGACCCGGAACGTCTTAAAACTCATTGTGAGCAGCACAGAGACAGCGTACAGACCACCAGTCCAGAAGGCTATCCCATTTTGGGAGCTTTTGTACCTCAGTGTGATGCGAATGGACAGTACACTCCGCAGCAGGTAAATTCTAGATGGTTTGAGCTATTATATCTTTTGCATATTATCAATGTGACTCAAACGTACTGTATAAACATGCGTATTGTTTGTTTTAGTGTCATGGTTCTAGTGGACATTGTTGGTGTGTGGACAACAGAGGACAAGAAAGACCCGGTACTAGAACACCTCCTGGTGCAACACCCGTTGACTGTGCCAAACCAGGTGCTGAAACTCACTATCCTGGTTTTTACACGCTATGATGACTCTCTTATTTAAGTATAACTTTGCAATATAATCTCTAGAGCGTCCGAAAAGCCACTGTGAGTTGCACAGAGACGGTACACAAACCGAGGGTCCAGAGGGTTATCCACCGGTGGGAGCTTTTGTACCTCAGTGTGATGCGAACGGACATTACACTCCTCAGCAGGTACAATCCTAGACGGTTTAAGGTCTTGTGTCAATTCTATGTCATCATTCTGACTAAAACGAATTTGGTGTTCTAGTGTCACGGTTCTAGTGGACATTGTTGGTGCGTGGATAGCCAAGGACAAGAAAGGTCTGGAACGAGAACGCCTCCTGGTGCAACACCCTTTGACTGTGAAAAAGCAGGTGCTAAAGTTTAACTCATTTTGACGGGTTGGTCTTAAAAGGGGAAAAGAAAGTAAGAAAACGTGCCAAACTAGAGAGGTAAAACTGCAATGCAAGTTCTGGTCACAAACAAAAGTCCGCGATGGAGTGGATCTGCAATAATCGAGCCGTGAAGTAGCGATGGAACACTGTATTTTCAAATCAAGTATAACGTTACAATATAATCTCTAGAGCGTCCAAGAAGCCACTGTGAGTTGCACAGAGACAGGATACACACAACCAGTCCAGAGGGTTATCCACTGGCAGGAGCCTTTGTACCCCAGTGTGACGCGAATGGACAGTACATTCATCAGCAAGTAAATTCTCCACAGTTTGATGCATTATGTCTTTTGTATATTATTCTATATGACTAAAACGGATTGGGTGTTCTAGTGTCACGGCTCTAGTGGCCATTGTTGGTGTGTGGACAGCCAAGGACAAGAAAGACCTGGTACTAGAACTCCTCCTGGCGCAACACCCTTTGACTGCGACAAACCAGGTGCCAAAGCTCACCTTTCCTTGTCTTTCCACTCTGATGACTCTCTTATATTTTTAATTGAAGTATAACTATTCAGACAACCAGTCCAGAGGGTCATCCACTAGCGGGAGCCTATGTGCCCCAGTGTGATGCTAACGGACAGTACATTCCCCAACAGGTATTTTCCCTTCAGTTTGATGCATTACGTCTTTTCTGTATCATTCTTTGCGACAAAATCATATTGTGTATTTTAGTGTCATGGATCAACTGGGCATTGTTGGTGTGTGGACAGCCAAGGACAAGAACGACCCGGTACTAGAACTCCTGCTGGTGCAACACCCTTTGATTGTGATAAACCAGGTGCCAAAGTTTAACACTCCCTTGTCTTTAAACTTTGATGACTCGCTTCTGTATTTTTTTTATTCAAGTATAACTTCACAATGTAATTTTTAGAACGTCCTAAAAGCCACTGTGAGCACCTCAGGGACAGTATTCAGACAACCAGTCCAGAGGGTCATCAACTAGCGGGAGCCTATGTACCCCAGTGTGATGCGAACGGACACTACACTCCTCAACAGGTACTTTCTCGACAATTTGATGCATTATGTCTTTTACATATCATTCTATGCGACTAAAACATATTGTGTATTTTAGTGTCACGGCTCAACCGGGCATTGTTGGTGTGTGGACACCCGAGGACAAGAAAGACCTGGTACTAGAACTCCTCCTGGTGCAACACCCATAAACTGTGACAAACCAGGTGCCAAAGTCTAACTCCCGAGTCATTACACTCTGATGACTTTCTCATATTTTTAATTGAAGTATAAATTTATAATGTCATTTTCAGACTGTACTAAAACCCACTGTGAGCGCCACAGGGACAGAGTTCAGACCACCAGTCCAGATGGTCATCCACTAGTAGGAGTCTATGTACCCCACTGTGATGCTAACGGACAGTACACTCCTCAACAGGTACTTTCTCGACATTTTGACGCATTATCTCTTTTGTATATCTTTCTGTGTGACTAGAACATATTGTGTGTATTAGTGTCGTGGGTCTAGTGGCCATTGTTGGTGTGTGGACAGCCAAGGACAAGAAAGACCTGGTACTAGAACTCCTCCTGGCACAACACCCTTTGACTGCGACCAACAAGGTGCCAAAGCTCACCTTTCCTTGTCTTTACATTCTGGCGACGCTCTGATCATTTTGATTCGAGTATAACTTTACAATTTAATCACTAGAGCGTCCAAGAAGCCACTGTGAGTTGCATAGAGACAGTATTCAGACAACCAGTCCAGAGGGTCATCCACTAGCAGGAGCCTATGTACCCCAGTGTGATGCTAATGGAAACTACACTCCTCAACAGGTACTTTTTTCGACCGTTTGATGTATTATGTCTTTTGTATATCCTTCTAAACGACTAAAACGGAGTGGATATTCTAGTGTCACGGCTCCAGTGGCCATTGTTGGTGTGTGGACAGCCAAGGACAGGAAAGATCCGGTACTAGAACTCCACCTGGCGCAACACCCTTTGACTGTGAAAAACCAGGTGCCAAAGCTAACCTCTCCTTGTCTTTCCACTCTGATGACTCTCTTTTATTTTTAATTGAAGTATAACTTTACAATGTACTTTTTAGAACGTCCTAAAAGCCACTGTGAGCAGCATAGAGAAAGCATTCAGACAACCAGTCCAGAGGGTCATCAACTTGCGGGAGCCTATGTACCCGAGTGTGATAATAACGGACACTACACTTCTCGACAGGTACTTTCTTACAGTTTGATGCATTACGTCTTTTGTGTAACGTCTATGCAACCAGATCAGTCCCCAAACCTTAAGGTCTTTATGCGCCAAAAACATATTGTGTACTTTAGTGTCACGGTTCTACTGGCCATTGTTGGTGTGTGGACAGCCAAGGACAAGAAAGACCTGGTACTAGAACTCCTCCTGGCGCAACACCCTTTGACTGCGACAAACCAGGTGCCAAAGCTCACCTTTCCTTGTCTTTCCTCTCTGATGACTCGCTCATATTTTTATTTAAAGTATAACTTTACAATGTACTTTCTAGAACGTCCTAAAAGTCACTGTGAGCAGCACAGAGAAAGCATTCAGACCACAAGTCCAGAGGGTCATCAACTCGCGGGAGCCTATGTACCCCAGTGTGATGCGAACGGACACTACACTCCTCAACAGGTACTTTCTTCACAGTTTGATGCATTACGTCTTTTGTGTATCGTCTATGCAACCAGATCAATCCCCAGACCTCAAGGTCTTTATGCGCCAAAAACATATTGTGTATTTTAGTGTCACGGTTCTACTGGCCATTGTTGGTGTGTGGACAGCCAAGGACAAGAAAGACCTGGTACTAGAACTCCTCCTGGCACAACACCCTTTGACTGCGACCAACAAGGTGCCAAAGCTCACCTTTCCTTGTCTTT